AGCATAGAGAAGAAGAGAATCGTAAAGAGGAGGAAAGGGAGAGAAAAAGGTTGGCAGAGGCGGAAATAGAGAGACAGCGTAAGGAAGAATGGGAAAAGGAAAGATTAAAGGAGGAGGAAAGAAGGAGGAGGCAAAGAGAAGAAGAGATGGAGCGGGAAAGACAAATGGAGATGAGGTTGCAGAGACAGAGGGAGGAAGAAGAGGAGAGGGCAAAGCAGGAGGAAGAGAGACTGAGACTAGAGCAGATGGAGAAAGAAAAACAAAGGATGGAGGAGGAGAAGAAAGAGAAGGAGAGACTGATGGCGGAAATGGAAAGAGAGAGGCTAAAGCAAGAGGAAGAGATGAAGCGAGTCAAAGAAATGGAGTTACTACAACAGAGACAGAAGGTGGCTGAGGACAGAGACAGAGTGAGGCAGGAAGAAGAGAGACTCAGACAAGAGATGGAAAAGGAGAGATTGAGATTAGAAGCTGAGGAACGAGAGAGGGAAATGCAGAGAATGAGAGAAAAGCATAGAGTGGAAGAGAGGGAGGAAGAAGAGAGAAAAAGAAGGGTGCTTGAGGAGAAAATACGGCAGGAAAAAGAGGCAGAGATGGAGAGAATGAGGCAGATAGAAAAACAAAGGGAGGAGGAGGAAAGGCTAAAACAGAAGGAGAGAGAAAGATTGGAGGAGCTGGAGAGGAAAATGCAAGGAGAAAAAGAAGAACAAGAAAGGCTGAGAATGGAAAAAGAGAGAAAAAGGCAGGAAACAGAAATTGAGGAGCCTGTTGATGGAGAACAACAGCGCACAACAAATGATTTAATCAACTTTGACTCTGAAGATGTGCCTCAGACGTTAGAAACTCCACTGTCTCCCTTTTCGCAGAGCCCGACTGAAGTCATATACGATGACTTCTCCGTCAGAAAGTCTCTGATTGAGGTAGATTTTGATGATTTTTCTGTCAAACCGAAGAGATGGGGATCACAGGCTAAATCAGAGACTTCTCCAGTCATTGAGAGCTGGGTCTCCAGTCCAGATAACAAAGAGGTGGACATGCTGGTACCTCTGGTTGTATCCCCTTGGGAAAACAAGGAACATGAGTATGTGACAAAACGGGATGATCCACAGCCTCATTTATTACTGGAGAGCCCTGAGGAAGAGGAAGAAGAGGAAGAAGAGGGAGAGGAGAAACCAAAGGAGATGTCAGAGGAGCTTGATTTTACCCCTGTGATAGTAAAGCAAGCAGAGAAAGAGGAAAATGTTGATGGGGATGAAGAGGTAATGGAGGTGGAAGAAGTACTGGAAGAAGAAGAAGAAGGAGCAGAAGAAGAAAATCCAGAGGTAAAAACAAACACACAAAGTCATGTTTTTTTTTTAATTGCAGTTTGAGAAAATCCTAATTGTAAACAACAGCAAAAGCCAAAAATGAGTTTTAATGAACATGAGGCAAAAGATCACGGCTAAGAAAACGGTGATTTCATCAGACAGTAACAGAACTACTTCAAATCTCGTTCGAATGCCACCGCTACTCTCACGGCAGCGTCCAAGCATTAGAACGTGCATGTGGGTGTAACACAGAGGTAAACAAGGGACCCTATGCAAAACTTTTCGCAGTGTTTCTGCATTAATTTGCATAAACCTAAGAATATCTAACTCTCAGTGACTATAGTTGTATAATGTTGGAGCAGTAGTTGGTTTGTCATCTGTAATGCAGTGAGTTACTTGCCCATACTAATACTTGCCACTCTAGATTGTGTCAGGAAAAGTATCATGTGTCAAAAAAAACAAAAAAACAAAAACCCAAAACAAATACAGACTATTGTTGAAGAGATTTCCCTTTGATAAAGAGAAGTGGGTGGGAGAGTGATACTTCTTATGGTCCCTACATTCACCAGGGTTTTTTTTAACCAGCAGAGGGGACGTATTAGAAGAGAAATACATTCACTAAATCATGCCAAATGTGTTTTCCAAGAGACTCTCAGATAGACTATTAGAAATAATAGTGTAATAAAGGTGTTTCCCCTTAAATATCCAACTGGGACATGTGGTGAGGTTCATACCTGGTGAGGTGTACAAATATATGAACCCCAAAATAGAAGCGTATATTTCAATTTATATTTATATTTCAATTGAATGAAACATTTACCGTAAAATTTAGAATGTAAGTGCACTGGATTATCAGTCGCAGGACTTTTTGAAAGGTCTCAAATAGTATATTATAATAGTATAGTCTTCCACTTTTAAAAGTGATGCCTCCAAATGAGACACAACCAATTTTTAAAAAAAAAATTCATATGTAATAACATTAATACGGATTTGTTTTTAATATTTGTCTAGATATGCAGTGTTATCACCTGACCTTAAGTTTGTACTGAAATCTGCATTATTTTGAATCAGGGTTTATTGCAACAGAATTGTTAGGGTTTCAGCCAATCAGAAGTCTGGGGTTGAGAAAGGTAAGAAACTCACTACAAATGCCAAAGAATCTAATTAGACAGAGATTTATAAAATGTTTGTGGTGAACAGCAGTACAGGAACTAGAGTGTACAAGTGTAAAAACCCTAAATACTTATACTTTGTGTAAGGAAAAAAATACATGTCTGCACTTATTGTTGGGTGGATCCACAAATAATTATCATTGCTGTACAGCTCAAAACAAGTCACATCAAATTACCAGGGAGTGTTATCTTCAGCCAATGTTCCTGTAAAAATGAAGCTGTGTCGTCAGCGTCAGCTTCATTACCAGTCAAAAGACCAAGAGCCAAGAAATAGAGCTGTCAAACCAATACATTTTTAAATTTTAATAGCTAAGAGGTAATCGCAAATAATCATGATTAATTGTCCTAGCAATGTATCCCGGTTAATCATGAATAATTAAGATTAATAATCAGCCATAAACGACCATTTGTTTTGTGTTTTGGTGGAACAGAACGACGAATAACAACAGGAAGATTTATGTTTGTTACTACCCCAAATGATGGAATTATTTATATGGAAAAATGTCAAGGAAAATATACTTACTTTTATGTTAAAGCATAATGCATTGGAAATTTTCCCCAAAAAACCTCAGCGAAATTATTAAATAGGCAAGCAATACCTCAAAGGTTCATTTGGAGAATATTCTAGACTGTATTAATAAAAGAACTAAAAACTAAATATCATTTGAAGGTACGCCCAGAGCAGATAAAAAATGCAAATAATTTGTGTTAATCATGGAATTAAAACTGGATTTACTTGTCAGTCGTGACAGTTGTTAAATTGAGACCTTTTGTCCTAAATGACAAAAATAGTCAAAAAAAAAAAAGTCAATCCTTAGCTTCTCAGAGTTGGTGAATCTCTGTCTGGATTTGAGTCCAGTTCAGTAATAGTCCTGTCCTGTCACTCAGTACATTAGCAAACATTATAAAACATTATTCTTATATATAAACCTACATTTGTTTATTAGAACATTGAACATTAGATCAAAACAAAAAAACTGTAGCAGAATCTAAACCTTTGGACAAACATCTGAGCCAGTGGTAAATATCTAACCCCCAGAATGATAGTGATACAACTGCTAGGCTAATCTTGGCATAGAGCTCTGCTCTGACAAACTTTTTGTGTTTTGCACAAAGTTACATAAAAAAAAGAATTGTCATCAAAAGAGGCGCTGCAGCAAAAACAATAATTTGAGGCAAACTGTGTAAATGTGGTTGTGGTTGAACATCCCACAGCCGTCGTGGACTTACCTGTTAGAACTGATCAGTTAGGCACCTGTTTCAACATGCAACATTTTTTTGAAGCACTCATGAAAGCATTGGATTCTCAAGCCCTAAAATGTGTGTGCATGTGACGCTTTTGTGTGAGAGAGTGTGTGTTATCATGTTTCTCTTTGCAGTGTGCACAGTAAAGTAAACAAATCATTACCCACATGACCAATGAGCTGCTGCAAAAGAGCCTTGTACAAAACCGCCTGTCTGCTGTACTGACATTCATATTGAGGCTTTGTTGGTCATGACCACGTCGGCACATTCTTATTTTAACCACCGAGTGGCGCTGCTGCTCTTACCGATCTCACTTCCTCGAGCTTCCGTCTTTATGTTTTTGTTGTTCAGAGCAGTTTTGGTGACAGATACAGATAATATGAATGTATAAAAGTGAGTCTACGCTGCCAGAAACAGTCCAGAGCTCGGACAGCATCGTGTGGGACTGAAAAGCCATTTGAAGGAACAGATTGAGGTTAATGTTTACTGGGCAAACAGGAGCTGTGCAGCTGACCGTGAACTATCACTCAGGCCACAGAGAGAAAGGCAGATGGATAAAGGGATGGATGTGTGAGTTAGGACCTTGGTGTTATCATGTCCTCATTTGGAACTGTCCGACAGGGAAGTGTGTCAGGATGACCGTACATGGTTCCTCTGTCATCTGTGCTCCGTCTACGTCGCCCTACTCTGTCTGTCCACACACATTTTTGAGTGAGAGCCCATCACCCTTCAAAACACACACATGCATGCACACACACACGTCTATAAAAGACTTTTCACTTTTTTTCATCTACTGAGTTCTCTGTTTTGCTCAAACTTCCCCTCACCTCTGAGGGGACCTGATTCATTTATTCACCTGACGTGAGCTACTAGAAGGCAGCAGAACACCTACTTAGGCCTCACTTTTCTGGCCACACCTTTCTTTCTTCCCTTGGGATTTTCCAGGTGTGAGCACAGAGCCATGCTTTGCTGTGATGTTATCTTCTGCGACATCCCCTCCTCTCCTGCTTCACCTGGATTTGAATGTTTGGAGTAACTAACAGTATTTTTTCTCTTAATGGAAAATGGAGTTGTGAATACAACAGATGTAAACTGGATTGACTTTGACAGAAGAAGCGTCAGCAAGAGACGAGGCAACACTTAAGGTATTTTTGCAAAAAAAAACTAATTAGTAGTTGACTTCCCGAACAACAGGAAATAACAGATTTCTCCACAAAGATTGTGTGACCAGCTCTTTGAATTTATGTTAAACACATGCATGTTTTCCAATTTTTTTTTTTTTTTTTTTTTGGCCTGGTCACAAACATTGACATTTTTATTTACAAAATACCCTTTTTAACAAAGCTGAAATATAGTTTTTTTGGTGGCCCTGTTTCCATGGTGACCCTTCTGCTTGGACGCCCAGTTGTAAGAGCAACAACTATGCAGTACTTTGGGGAGAAACTGTCTGCTGCCCAGCTGCAGATGACGGACTGGGTGGGCAGTGTGAGACACTCCATGCAAGGGGCTCTGGAGCTGGTGTGGGGCTCTGGGGAAGAGGATGACAAGGAAGAAGAAGAAGAAGACGGTGGAGACGGTGGAGGAGGAAGGTTTCATAGAGCAGTGTCACCACTTCGTAGCTTTGCCAGAAGAAGCAGGAGATCTCTGCACCGCTTCTCTATCAGAAGTCGACTCTGCCCTACTGTAACCCTAACTCTGCAAAGGAAGTCTACGGAGACCTGCTCTGTAAGAGCCAATGCATTAACCCCTGGATGTTGTGCATGATGTCATCTCATTAGGATCAGTCTGTTTATTAACAAATCTTCCATCAACTTCTAAAAGCTTCTCTTCACATGATTTTTTATCATATTAGAAGCCTACCAAAACTAGAGCTAAAAAAATATCTTGATCATTCAGCCCTAACCAGGGAATTGCACATAGCAGAGGATGGTTTCGATCCATCGACCTCTGGGTTATGGGCCCAGCACGCTTCCGCTGCGCCACTCTGCTTGTTGTGCTGAAGGAGCAGCTTTTTTCATTCTTACATATTAAGAAATGGTTATACATTTTTATCCATGTGTATTTTGAAGTCTCCAAAACCAGCTCCATTTTCAGAACTTGATATAAAAACTACTAGATGAAATTGCCAATGACCCTAGATGAACTGACAGACAAAATACTGACTGAGAAAATAGACCTGCTCCGGATTGTGGGCGTGCAGACAAAATGACAACCTTGGGAAAAGATGACACATATGTGAAGTATTTTGTTTTTGTCAGATGAGACAACAGTCTGGTTTTAAGGATGTTGGCCTCAGGTTAGGAAATCAAGGACGAAGGAGAGAAAAGTGATGCTAAATACATTTTGGAAATTTTCTGAGGATGGATAATAGTTATGACGTAGGATTTTAAAGGAACATTTTCTTCACCTTGATCTTACTTTTATTGCACTACCCCCCTCAAATGTTTTAAAATGTGGCCCTAGAGGAGTGATGGTCAAAGTGTCATTGGTGCTTTTGCCTCAGTGAATGAATGTAACTGTTTAAATCTCCGTTGGTAATGGAGACGGCTATTCTCTATGGAGTTTACTTGTTCTTCCTGTTTGTGTGTGGGTTTTTATATGGATACTCCCAATTTCTCCCATAGTCCAAAAACATACAACGACATACTGTAGGTGTGAATGTGAGTGTGTATTTTTAATCCACTTGACACTACATGTGGTCAGAAACTTAAAAATACTTTGGGTGATATCTTTAAACTCGATGAAAGGTTAAATAACAAAATAAATGCCAATGAGTAACGTTGTCGTGACACTCTCAAGATCAAATAATCCATATTTTTACAGCTAAATTAATTAATTCGTTACAAGCCACACATTTCCCTTGTATCCCGAGTTACTCATTTCCTGGTGTAAAGCCAACACACCCATGTGTCAACAAATGAACATGCAAATGTGTAGACGGAGAGCAGTAGCAGAGGCTGTGGAAGTCCAGTTCCAGGAAGCACAGTTAGTCTAAAAAAAAAAAAAAAAAAAAAAAGGTTTTAAACCACTTTTGTACATACCAGTAGGAAACGGATAACTATGTGGCATTTCATTACATCAAGTTGATTAAACACTGATAGTCATAGTCGGCTCCAGAGATTGGCTGCTGCTGAATCTCTATTTTCTCTGTTATCTGTTTTTAAAGAAGCTTTAAATCTAAAGTTTCTAGTCAAAGCTGTGGTTATAACCTAATTGCACGTGTTAATGCAAGTCTGTTGTTTACTCTGAAGTTATTCCTCTTCTAAATTAGACGTCCCCACTGTTCCCTTTTCTATCAGAGACTATTACTCACTCGTCAGTTGCCGACTTCTTGTGGCATCGCTTTACTTCCGCTGCACTTGGATCATAAACACATTCCAGGGACCGTGACAAAAATGTGATGCAGGCAAACTGTAATGAAGCCAACTCTGTCTTGACTTGTACATCCTCTGCTCTCACACGCACATTCTGTTCCAACTCCTACAAACACAGGTTTATTGCACTTTCCAGGTTTATACAGGCTTGTGTAAATATAAGTCGTGTGAACTTTTCAAACCTATAGTTAGGAGAGATGGGTCATTGTTGTTGTTGTTTTTCTTCCTGTTGTTGAAGGTACATCTTTGCCACATTATTATTATGTGTTTTTATTAAGTATCTCTTTATAGTTTTGCTTCATTTTCAACTTGTGAAATGCCAGACTGGACAAATAAACAGACATATAAACAGCTATTTAACAAGGCTATAATGGTTGAGAAGTAATGATGCTAACGTTGATGTTAAAGTAGAAAGAGTAAATTTTTTTTAATTTAATTTAGCAAACCTGAAGCACAGATATACTTGGTCCAATGCTGTATTTATAGAATCACACTTCATGTTGGTACAATTGCCAAACACAAATTATTTTTAAAAGGAACATAGCCCCCACTGGACCAGTGAGAAGAAACGGTGTGGGGGTTCAATGGTATGACTCAGAAATGATCCCAGCATAGGAAAAAATAGCTGTAGGTGAGTTTCTGACACAAAGACATTCTCTTAAAGTCATCACAGTCTCAGTATAAAGGGACTTTTCTAACAACATCTCCACTCATGATGTGGTGCCATCAGATAAGAGGAAGACGAGATAAGACGAAAGCGAGGATGTGCACTTCAATATTTTGTATCTAGGTAACAAGAATAAATGAAACAACAGAGGGGTGTGTCTCTCACGGAAGGTGCAGAAAGCTTAAAAGAAACATCTGTGTCATGAGCTATTTTGGACACTTGAATAGATTATACTCAGCAGCCTTTTGATGCTCAATGTAAGAATATTTTAGTAAAATAAATTAATTCTACAGTTCTGTCCTCATCAGCACAGTGGCCAGTTTCCTGCCCGTCACGTGGAGACAGCAGTTCAAACCCATGATGAGAAATGTATTTTCAGGGGCAGCGCGTGTCTTAATGGCTGGCCATCCTTTGCGAGACTGCTGGGTGTTGAGTAAGCACCAAATCAACCCCCCCCGCTCACTAAACGTATTTCTAAAGTGCAGCTCACTGCTCCTGCTCCAGCTAACAGCTAACAGCTGGGAGTGATTTCCCCTATGGAGTACACTCTGAATCGAATCGAGTGCAAATGGTTGTCTATTAGTGGCAGTAGAAAAGGGTGTATCATTGAGTACTGTAAATCTAGAACGTTTTTCTGATTAAATTAATTCCATTTGTTAATTTTACTTGGTTGTTTGTGCCCTTACTGTGTGACTGATTATACTTCTGTGCTGCACCAGGAATTAATTCTCTGAAAATGTGCATATTATTATATTTTGCTTAGAGCTCCCTCTGCTGGTTCGGTTGCTCCTCAGTCATACGGTACAAGTAGGGTTGTGAAAATGTCTTTTATGTCAAACATTAATCTCTAAATGTATCAGATATTTACACATAAGCTCATTCACAGCCCAAGGTCATAAGCATGAATGTTGCTGCACCAGCGTTTTTTATTGAATATTCTGATTGTGTGCAACAGGATCCACATTAGTTACTGGATGCGTTTATAGTATACTGCTTGCATGTATATGCATATTGACCAATGCTTTCAGTACATGGTTATGACAGCATGAATGTATTGGTTTTTGTGATCACATGAAACTGTGTATGGCAGTGTGTGTGTGTGAGTGCACACATGTTCATAGTGTTCAGTGAGAACAGCAGACACTCTGTGACCCGCTCATTAAAAAATGCATGCTTGGCTGGTTCTGACTCAAGTCCCTTTTCCCTCAGCTGTTAGTGAAACACAGTTCAGTTTCTCTCTGCCGTCAACTCCACAGTGTAACGCTCTCAGACGGAGATCGGCAGAACAGAGAGACGGAATCTAATGTTTGGAAATAGGTTTTGCACAGAGATAACAAATAAAAAAAAATAAGCTGATGGCAAACACTGCAGTAACTGCTATTCAAAACTGTTACTATAATTCAAAGTCAAAACATTCGAGAGGTTGCCTCATTTTATGAGACATAGAAAACCAGGCACACTGTCACTAGAATCTTTTAGTTCAAGGTCTTGGTAGTACAAGGTGTGTCATGGATTTGACATTTCTTAGGTTGGTCAAAATCCCTTCTAGAGCAGATGGTCAAATCAGTATGAAGGTCAGTTTTGTTTTTTGCCTTAAGGTTTTTTTTTAAATCATGAAGAATGGTGTGCACTGCAGGTTACACATCAGTAGTTCCTGTGCTGCCTGACAATCCTACCTCTCAAGTAAAGTAATTTGCTTCCTGTTCCCAGTTCTTTGTTATTGTACCTGTTAAGCAAATGTGCCTTGAAGACCTAGAGTTACATTTATTTTTAAAAATATTTCCCTGTGTTCATGCACAAAAAAACACATGTATACAACATCCCAAGGCATGTATTTTCTTTGTGTATACTGAACCTATCTGATTACTACAAACAGTAGTAAGTGACGGTGGAAGACATACAGTAAAGTCAATGGTGTTCTGTCAGGGTCATTTTATGTTTTTGTAAAATAAATCTTCCTGATTTCTATTAAACAATAGTTATCTCACATTCTCCCAGACACAGGACAACACTGAGAGTACAAATGGAGGAGACAGAGACACTGGGCCTTTAGTAGACATTGAGCCAGAGGAGGAGAGTCAGCCTTGGGAAAGGACGTCTGGACCTGACAGGTACAGCCCTACTACACCACAAAGATACAGATCTGTACAACATCACTCACTCTGTCATCTTGAACAGCTACAGCGTTGACTTTATTTCAGTCTACTGTAGCCTAATATGGACAGACCGGATTAAACAGGTCTAAGTGTCACACTGTCATTGTCTCACGATGAAGGTGTGGATCCACAGTCAAGTACTTTATTCTGTATTACAGTATGAGGAAGTAGCCTGCCTTTGGAAATGTAATGGTGTATTTAATTTTTTCTAATATTGTTTATATTTGAAATCTCTGTCTCTTTAAAATTACCTACAGTCAGTACGTGGACGTCCTGATTATTCCCATTAGCCAGACTTCCTTTTTGCCATGCACTACAATGGACCAATTTTTAGAACTGAACTCCATGTGCCCCCGTGTGGCCAAAGGAGCAAATACTCAGACAACACATAACGTATGGAATAGCGTTTGTACCAGACATTTGAAAATCGGTGTAGGTGGTTTATATAAACTTTGAATATGCAATTTTTTTTGTTTTCACACATCTTCATCAAAATATAGGTATATAATAAAAAAATGAGTAATGTGCATTTAACATCTATTTGTTTTTTTGTTTTTTAAAAAAGATTGAATAAGTTCAAAAAATAAAAATTCAGACTTTTTTTGTTTTATTAGTTAAAGTTAAATTAATTCAGATGCTGATAACTTTTACAAACTCTAAAAATGTCTTTCCAATGTGTGTTTCAGGCATTGTTAGTTAAATATATCTAATAAATAGATTTAATTGGTTAATGAAAACATTTTTTCCCTCTCTTTTTTCTTGTCAAATGGAGATGAAGATTTTTAGACGTTAGGTGAATATAGTTATTGTAGACACCCAGATTATAGTTATTTCATGTTGGTGGAAGTAAATGGTGCCAGAAACTACATTAGCAACTACTCTTTCTTTATTTTCTCACTATATTACTTTAAAACAACATGCTTTTACTTCAGCCCAACGTTCATCTCTGACACATTTCCTGAAAACTACTCTCAAGATGTGGATACCACGGATTTGGACAAAGAGCCAGACATTTTATCATTTCCTGAGGTTTGTTTTACCTAAAAAAAATTATGAAAATCTTTATTGCTCGTGTTTGTTATTGTATGTTATTTACAAATGTGTGTGTGTGTCTATATAGAGCACCACTTCACTCCTGGACACCAGTGCACAGAAATCCAAGGCTACTGTGAGTAAAAGACGAAGTCGATCTCGTCCATCACGCTCTCTCCGCGTGGCTGGGTTTCCTCAGAGTGACGTTATGGACTGGAGGACGTGTGACTCTACAGGTTATTACAAAAACTGTAACCTGATCTCAGTTTTATTAGAACCAGAGCTTTGACCTGAATTATATTATTCCTGTTTAGATCAAACTGATTCATCGTCCAAACGGAAGGAGCTAGATTCTGATGATGAACAACCGAAAACAAAAATAGTCTGTGCACCTCCTTCCACCTCTCACAGAGTCCCAGTTTTCCCTGGTCTGAGCCCCACTGCCCTGATTGTAAGCCTACATTTGTTTATTTGTATGTCTTTGTTCATTAAAGGATTTTAAAATATCTGTACAATTTTATTGTTTAACATGTTATTGTTTCACTTTTCCAAGGCTCAACTAAAACGGAGAACAGGAGGAGGGGCAACAACTGGAGGAGGAGGAGGGGCATTGGAAAGTGAAGGAAGCAAGGACAGAGAAGAACTGAGAAGCCCCCAAGAAGAAATGGCACCGTTGACCTCGCAGCTCTCCCGCTCACCCCGCTCACCTCGCTCTGGTGCATTTCTCGCAGGGGCTGCACGGGTGCTGCCACCTATAGGCGGCAATGATGGAGGGTAGGAACAGAATGTAGCAGCAAACAATCAGTAAAATCATAGCGCCAGAAATGTTGTAGAAGAGTAATGGTGTTTATATATCGTGACAATTCTCTGAATTGTGTGTCACTCAGGGCTGGCTCTTCTCCTGCTTGGCTGAAAGAACTCAAGTCTAAGAAGCGACTGAGTCAATATGACAATGAGGCTTAGTCAGAAAAGCAGGTGGGTAAATTGTGGGTAGTGAATTTATTCAAATATTATGAGTTATTAAATGCGTTATTCAAAGAATTATTTTTGCAGGAATCACTTAAAAAACAGACTTTATATAAGATTAATTATGGTAAAAAGGTGTTTTTTGTTTTGTATTGTCAGGGAAACCATTTATCTGACCATTGTGGTCTGTGCCAACTACCACGATTGCACACCCTTAAAAATCATAAAATAACCTCTGTCTTTCTCGTGAACACGTGAAAATGGTCCATTTTAGTCACTATGAGGGATTCATTTAAAATTACGTTAATCTTACTTACAATGAATGCATTTAATCTGCAGGTCTTTTCTTTTGTTTTTTAGGAGACACTGCCATTTTCTTCAGGAACAGTCTGGGTTTTCCAGGACAACTTACCATGTTTGGTGCATTTTGCACTAAGTGCCTTATTTTGGACCTAAACCAGTGAACCCAGAGGGAGAGTTGCTGAATTTGTAGGCCATGGAGAACTTTTGTCCTGTCGTGAAATGATGGTACCAAGGCTATAATGTGATCAGGCCAAGTTTTATGTTTTATTGACTGTACAGAAGCTCAACACAGAGTCTTGGCTGTGTGGCTCCATCCTGCAGAGACAGATACTGATGACAGCAGGCCTTCAACAGAGCCATCAGCAGGGTCAATACCACCACAAGACACAGAGCAGGATGTGAAAAATGCCTTAAAACGTGTTGTGTGAATTTAGTAAAAAAAAAAGAGAGAAATAATAAAATGTTTTTATTATATTTTACAAATTACTACCCATGCAAACCAACTAGCACTTTAAGAAGCATTAAATAAACATTTTCTTTACAGTGAATTTACTTTAAGTGGTGGGATAATCACGTGTATGACGGGGTCGAGGGTAATTTTCTTTTCTTTTGATACTGACGTGAATGTCTGTCTTCTCTTTTAATGCAAAGGTTTTATCAATTTCTGGTTTCATTGAATGGGAAGTTGATAATTCTATTTCAAGAAGACTTATAGTATTTGTTCTGTAAAAAAATATATATAATATGAATTGTAGAGGATATTTTAACGTTGATGACACACTGTCATCAATCATCATCAATCAGAGGAAATCAGGGGAACTTTATTAAAGTCTTTTCTTTGATCTTCACAACAATGTGTTTTTGTACCTTACCTTTGTCTTCTGTGAATTGTTTATTATACAATAACCAATTATCAATTGTCACCAATGACAATAGTTAATTAGTGAACAGTTGGGAGACCTCTGTAACCTGTGTTAAAGGAAAGGAAAAGGACAAAAATATAATGAGACCTCATGTTGTTAAAAAGAACAGAAATGCCTTTGACACTAGTATTTGACACTAGTATTTTGAAAAATGCTGTGTGGAATTGTCTTGCCTTGAAAACAAGAACTTGCATACACCATAAAAAAAGGTCAAAACTTAAAGGAGAATTTTTAAGATCAGAAGAAAGAGAAACATGATTAAGAAAAACTGTCTGGTGGAACGCTGAGTGAGACACATTTTCTTGGGTAGCACTTAGACTGTGTGTAAGTGTTCATCGTAGAAAGATCATGGCCAGGATGGGCAGGGTGGGTAGTGTTTGTTAATGTGCCAGGGACAGAGTGGGTAAAAAGCAACGTAATGAAAAAATGGGTGCGACATATTTGCTGCATCAACATGCTTTTTGCTGCTGTGGTCAGAAACAAACCATAAATATAGCCAGTGGCCTCTATCACCCAGCTCGCTAGTCCACACACCCACTAAATTTTGCACTGAGAAAAACAGAGACAAAAGTGAACAGGAGAAGAATGGATGTCATAGTTGTCAGTGAAGAAAAAAAAAACCCTTAATGTTTTAGTTTTGTCAATGTATGTATAACTGAAACCCATAACTAATATACAAATCTTTGATCTAACTTTGATTAGGTTGCAGGTATTTCTAAAAAAAAAAAAGATGAGACCAAACCAGTATTTCTCAAATTTCTTGTCTGAAAGTTGATGTTAAGTTTTAAGAAGTTTGGTAGTTAAAAGTGGAACTTTTAGCTGGGTGTTAAAACGAGTAGGAGACCTCAGTAAATTGGCTCAATCGTCATGGAGTCCCAACATTTGGTGATTCAATATTACTGCACCTGCTGCATCCTGTTTTTATGCTGTGTTCCTTGTACAAAAAGACAGCATGCCTTTTTATGTGATATATTTTTAACATCTTCAGGTGGGCGAGTTCTGAGCTTCCAGAATTCACAGCAGATCAGCTTCTGTTAAAAAAAAGAAAGTGTTAATTAATCTTAATAGAACACTTGGACCAATAATCCCAGTACCTGCAGCAAGAACTCCTTCTGGCCTCTGGCGCTGTAAAGTTAATTTAGGAGCCAGAGCTTTATGACCAGCTTCAATGTTAAGTGTATATTTTTTATACTAAACAAAAAACAACAACAACAATAACAACCAATTACATTCTAACCTCATTTAACCTTTAAGCCATTTTATTAATTGTATTTTTTCCTTCTCTTGATATCATTCTTTATTGTCCAGTCTACTTTGCCCGTTTTAAATCGGCTTTAATGTATTTCATAATAATAAATAAAATAAAATAAAGTCATTGGATACAAATATAAATCCCGCCCCTGAAACGTCACAACGTCCAATCATATTCATAGTCTATTCAGCGGCACCACGAGGTGGGCGGGCAACGCGCAAAATTTGAAAGTTCACCGGAACCAACGTTGACGGAAGGAAAAATACTGCGACACTGTGCAACTGCACATTTTGATATGTTGAACATTTAGAAGAATATAGCTACCTTTTTTTTACTACATTGCTTAAGGTGAGTCTTTTCACGTTGCTGCATTGAGCAACATAAACTTGATTCTTTTGTTTTTGTGTTTTTTAGCGACGTTAACAGTTATACCAACGTCAGTTTGTCATGAGAAAAGGAAGCGTTGTTGCTGAACGTCATATCACTTTTACTCTTTTTTAGCTCACTGCAGACCACCACTAACGCTTTGTAAATGTCTGTGTCAATGTGTTTTAGGTAAATGTTTGTTAGGAAACAATGTTGAAGTTTAAATACGTGAGTCAGGGAACCCTGAAAACGCTGCCACCGTGTTCGGCGGCTGAACCCATTGCCAGCCGCAGCTCCAGACTTAACCAACTGTTTCAGGTAAACTGTGTCCGCTTATTGTCAATGCACATATTTTTAAACACATGTAGTCTCTCTCCAGTCTATACGAATGATGTTCAAAGTTGATCCTCAATCACCTACAGTATTTAAGATAAGAAATTAGTTGTTGTTTTTCCCCGCATGATATTAATGTTATTTACTTACTCTATGGCGACGTATTTATCTTATGTTTCACAGCTCACCCTGAGGAGCTATGTGTCTGATAACGAGGATAATTGAATGGTTTTTGAAAGGAAAGACAAAACTGACTCGGTCTATACTTCATAATCTTTGTACTACTGTAATTTAAGATGAGAGTCACAGTGTGCAGACAAAGGAGATAACTGTGACAGTGTGTTCTGGTGTGAAACTGATTTACAGGAGATAAAAAAAAGTTTAATAGCTCACTTCCACTTCCTGTGTTTTTGTGCTGCGTCTGCCTTCAGGGTCGAGCCAGCCTGCGTGGGCAGCACGGAGGATGCACTTTGGGCAGAGAGGAGTTCCTGGAGTCTCTGCTGATGCTCTATGAAGAGTGCGCCTCCCCAGAGCTGATGAAGATAAATCATGTTGCTAACTTTGTAAACAAATGTAAATATCAATTTTATAATATTATGAACTGTGTTGTTGTTTGTTTATGTCCTCAACCTTACTTTTTCCAACCCTACTGTTGTAAACTAGTCCACTCTTGTCCTAAAATGACCATCAGTCAGATATACTTGCTGTGTCTTACATTTATGGTGTTTTTGAAAAGCCCATACTATGTAAATTGTTTAAGATACTTGCGTTTGCCTTGAAACCTCAAACTGTTGTCTTTCTGCTTGTTCCACAGTCACTGAGGTGGTAACAGAGCTGCGAGCCCTTCAGCCTGGGGTGAACGACTTTGAACTGTGTGCCGTTGTTGGACGTGGGCATTTTGCTGAAGTTCGAGTGGTCCGAGAAAAAACCACTGGGGATGTGTGTGCCCTGAAGGTCATGGACAAGGCAGTTTTACGAAATCAAGCAAATGTAAGACCTACATTTGATTCCGCCGTTCTCCTGAGGCATACAAGTCTAATATTTAATATTATTTTATTTGTGTGCACATATTTCAGTGCTAAACAGTATTTTCCTTTTGAGTTGGACTCCAATTGTAAAAGAAACCTCAACATAAAAGTGCAGTAGGATAAAGACTGGTCTCATCTACTTATAGCCAGTATATTCAGTCAAATGCATCAAAATTTGTCTTTAGTGGTTCATTTATCTGTAAAACTCTGGACTGAAAAGAGCAGTGGGCTGCACTTATCGAGTAACTGTAACTGAGCAAAGTGTCTTTGTTTATACAGTCTATTGTTTCTGATGGGTATTATTTATACAATATGCTGCAGCGGACCCAAATAACGAACACGATGAGTCACACACATTAGGTTTTTCATAACCTATCTTTTTTTTTTTTATTTAGTTAAATATTGTCATAAGTTTGCCTTCTTTCTTCTTTTTACTCAGTGTGAGTTGCTATTTTTTGGGTGGGTTACTGCTACACAAGAGATTAATGAATGATTGCAGGTATTGGTTAGAAAACCTAAAGTGAAAGAACATTTGAAAGGAATTTGATTTCAGTCCATATATCCAGCCACCCTAAAAGTGTTCAGAATTGAATAAAATTAAGATTTTTCTGAAAATGAAGATTATTATTTTTTACTTGTCTTGGAACTTTTTGACCCTGCGTCACTTTCTTATTGACTTTGGCCTACAGAAGTACAATCTAAAAAAATCCCACTGGGGGATGCTATATTGTTCAATACAGTACAACAACAGAAAATATATGTACATAATTATTCCACAGCTGCTCTATTTGGAATGGGACTAAAAATAAGGTCTTTGTCAGAACGTGGGTAAGGAACGGGAAATAAGCATTGTAATTAGTAAAGGCAAGATATGCAATATGTGACTGTAAAAATAAACTGTATGTCCAGTCTTGTACCCATGGATATGATTGAATATAAATCTAAAGATGTAGTTTTCACTGGAATGTGATTATTTAAAACTTTATATCTCTGTGACACAGTTTATCTCTGATTCTATTTGTGGCAGTGATTTAAAGCGTCCTAATTGCTTTGCTCCTTGTCCAGGTGGTTTTTCATGAAGAAGAACGAAGAATTCTAGCTCTGAGCACGAGTCCTTGGATCCCACAGCTTCTGTATGCTTTCCAGGATAAAGAACATGTCTACCTGGTAAGACCGCAGAGTTGTTGTTTTTTTTGTTTTTTAATTTACGGATGCATTGGACATTAGTGCTAGTCTTAGCCACAGTATTTCTCTGTTAAATTACTGATATAGGTTATACAGTAGTACTAATGGACTATGATGCAGTGTAAATACTCCCTACACAAACTGGGACACTCAGGTCCAGGACTATCCTCCACTATGTTGTTTCAGTGAGCATCCCTTTTGGTTTTTCAGTGTATGTTTAGTAAATGTTCATTAAATGGTATAAACAGGATTCCATTTCCCTGAGGTTATACCCGTATAAATAATTATATGATACTTAGATGTAAAGTCTGCATTAAGTAAAGTTCAGACCATACATAAAATTCATAAAATAAAATAAAAATAAAATAAAATTCAGGTTGTATATGTATGTATACTATGTGTGTGTGTATACATATATATCTATTGTATATAGAAGGTATGTATATATATATATATATAAATACAGTTCTCATATACAGTGTTTATATACTGTATATATATGGAAATACATATATATGACAATATAGGAAATATTTAGTTTTTAATTTTAACTGTTGCATGTGAATACTACAGGCTGTAACAGTCAACACTGGGGAATTGACTGACGATCTCCTTGTTGTCCACACTGTCCGTAATGAAGACAGATGGTGTATAGATTTTCATCTGAGCTGAAATGGAAGCGGGAATGTGTGAGAATGCTGTCATTGTGCTAACATGGATGACTAAGTGATCCTAAAAGTTAGTTCAGACACAAAGGAAGAAAAATTGGGAAGAAATTTGTGAGTTCTTAATCTCTAATGTTATCAGCTGTGAGTGAATTTGATCTGACACATTTTAGAATTGACTGCATGAATGGGTAAAATCAGTTGTGAGTCACAGGCTTCTTCAGGCAGAGCTTGAGACACAGAGGAAATAAAGCTCCACAAAGTTAGAAGAATGACTGACTCATACTTAAACTCAGTTACATCGGCTCAGATGCTTCGCTATTCTGTATCTGCGTGTCTGTCATGCACAACAGATAACAGGAGTTTCATCTTATATAACTGGTGCAGTAAAGCTCTGCTTTAAGGTGCAAATTCTTTTTATTTATTTATTTATTTTTGGTTCACAGTTGTGCTTTTTATAATGTGACTTATAAAACAGTGGGATCAGTCAGAATAGTGCATGAGCTGCAGGAAGCAGAAAGTAATGAAAGAACTCACTTGTACCTTAAATAAATGCTTTGAAGTGGTGGGTTGCCAATCAAAGATGAGGAAAACCAAACTTTGTTTCCCACCAATCACCATCCAAGAGAAATTGTGATATTATTTCATCGTTACGCTGATACATCTACTGCCACAGAACCTCTGAGCTCCAGTGTTGGACTTTTTGCCATGTTGTGTCTGATAAGGTGTGAGAGTGACATAAGTCACCTCACAACAACCTGTGTTGTTTTGTTCTGACCAAACTGGCAGACATTACAAGACTGTAAATTCTGCATTGTTTCTTTGTTATATCTTTACTCTCTTTAATTTCTTCTAGTGTTAGTCCTGTATTTGTGTCTGCTTTTTAACCTCCTCCTTCTTCGTCTGTCTTTTCACTACCGCTTTGCTGGCACACCCTTACTGAGCACAGAGAAAAATACAAAGCATCCATCTTTATCCCTGTGTCAGAGAGGCACTAGTCTCCCTGTTGCTAGGTAACACTGGAGAATGCCTCCCGTTCATTCAGACTTGCCGACCATTCATGCACCAGAGGCTCTCGACTCTTATTTGACCGCATGACCGCCACCATATACCTCAAATCAGTCTGGGTTTCATCTCAGGAAGCTGAAAATAGATCTGAAGCTCAACGTGACCATCTCTGATCTGTTTTATTTCAGTTCCAACATTTAAAAAAATCAGATGTTGCAACACAACGTGTCTTTGTTTTGTGTTGTGTTGCCTGAAAACGTGTCTGCCTGAAGCCTGAAATCACAAAAAAACACAAATAACAGAGTTAATGCATTTATTCCTTCTGTTTTTTATATTGTACGGCGACAATTTGTTTTTACACTGCAGTATCACAGATAAATCTGCAACAGTGTCTGGTGTTACATAACTGAATCAGTAATGAAGAGAAGCACTCTATTACCTCCAGCTGTAAGGAGCTTTGATGAAAGCTCTCACACACACACACGATCCCTTACTTGTTGCTCTCTTTTTCTCATCTTCACTGCCTGTTTGTGGTCAGCCAGACTTGTTTCAACAGCACGATGTATCTCAATAATATGAATATTAAAAATAATGCCATACTTTACAAAAATGCCATAAATACCAACATTTTTAATTTCACTAACTAGCTTAACCATGTCCTTTACTTGACATAATTAGTTAATATTTTCAGGCTCTTCAGTGACCAACAAATTTGAGGTTTACATTTAAAATTGGCTAAATGCGGCTCAACATTCTGACATTCAACACATGTTTTTCTAATTCCCCTCATTATTAGCCTGCCTTTTTTAACAGCAGACTGACTAGACTGCAGACAGGCTAATTAACCAAATGTGCTCTAGTTTTATGTAGTCACATGTGCAGAATGAGTCCTGCTGTTGTCCTGCAGAAAAATCAATAGAGTTCTCTAAGTCAGTGTGTCCATTGTACATACATACAGTATATGCAAATACCTGAAGCCACAGATAACGATCCACTATTATCATCTCTAATACCTGCTTTAACAGTTTGTGTTGATAACAGTGTGGACAGACTTAGTCATCCAAAAATCAGACTTAACCACATCACACTTTTATTGTTTTTATCTCCATCTTATTAAAACCAAGGCACTGACAACATCATATATTTTTTAATACTGAAATATTTGGGATTAATTTTTAAAATTGTATTGTCATTTATTACATTATGTATGTGTCTTTAAAAACGTGTCTTCAGGCAATGGAGTATTTACCAGGGGGCGACCTAATGTCCCTGCTAAACCGCTATGAGGACCAGTTTGATGAAACGATGGCTCAGTTCTATCTAGCTGAACTGGTGGAGGCCATTCATGCTGTCCACCAGCTGGGCTACGTCCACAGGTACGTGACGTAGACCAGAGTAACAATTTATGTTATTCACATCATTGTAGATAAACACATACATGAATTCGATTAAATGTCCATTAATTAACTCTAAAGCATGGTTAAGTAAATAACACAAAATTCTCTTTGGAGAAAATATTTTAAGTTGTAAATTATATTTACCAGTCCATGATGTGTGCAAATATCTAAGTATATACAAAACAAACAAACAAACAAAAAACTGGGGAGCTCAGGCGGAATATAAATGACATGTCTGTCTTTCTAATTTAAGCTTGAGCACAAAGTGTGATGTTATTTAATGGGTAAACAGCTAAATAGAAAATGTAAAATTCAGTATCAGTAACAGCACTCTACTTGCAGAGATGTCAAACCAGAGAACGTTCTCATCGATCGGACTGGTCACATTAAGCTGGCAGACTTTGGATCAGCTGCCAGGCTGACTGCTAACAAAACGGCAAGTAGATTACTGACTTTGCTCTGGGTATAAGCCATGGTATTATTGATCAGCACTAGTGCGTTATCATCATATTATTGGGTTTCCAGGTATCAGTCGCCGCAGTGCCTGTTGGCACCCAGGACTTCCTTTCCCCTGAGGTCCTGACAGCCGTGAATGGTGGTTCTCACAGCACTTATGGGATTGAGTGTGACTGGTGGTCCCTTGGGGTCATTGCCTATGAAATGATCTATGGCAGGTCACCGTTTTCTGATGGTACTTCTACCAAGACCATTCACAACATTCTCAACTTTCAGGTATGAACTGTACTATGTATTGAATATAGGTTTGTTGTACATTTTAGGGTTGTGCCGATACTATTTTTTATAAACGATATAAGTATTTCCCTTTGTGTACTCACTGATACCAAGTAGAAAAGGTAACAAATCTTCCTTTGGTTGGGTTTGAATAGATAAATCGGAATGCAGTGTTATGTAGACAGCACAGCTGTGTGGGAAATGAGGCGACGTGTGTAGGTGTGAGCTCGACCCAAACCACAGTGAGGACACAACAAGGACAATTCTTACAGGCAGTCTTATTTTCTTGTCATGAACAGAAGGCTTTTGTAATTCACAAGGAAACAAATGTTAAACAAAAAATTTTCAAACAGACATGGTTGAACCATTAGTCAATATATGAATAAAACTAATGATACAATAAAAATAAATACAATACAATAAAAAGAGATACAATAATAAGAAATACAAAAGAATATAATTTGTTCTCAGCAGTGTCACCTAGACCTGTACTAGTCTTACTTAACCTATTGGTTAAATAAGTATCAGCAAAAAATTACTTGTAGTAATATATATATCTATATAGTATATATCGATACTATACTCAACTATACCATTGACTTAATGTTCCTCGACCCGGTATAAAGAAATTGCAGTTGCATTTATTTAGTGTACTGTCTGATCACATTATTCTTATAATAAAAATATCTTCTTCCCTTTCAGCGCTTTCTTAAGTTTCCAAAAGAACCACAGGCCAGTAAGCAGTTTGTGGACCTGGTACAGAGCTTGCTGTGTGGAGCCAACGAAAGACTGGGATTCCAGGGACTCCGCTGTCACACTTTCTTCTCCAGTGTGGACTGGAATAACTTAAGACATGGTAAGGGGATTCCTTTCTTCTGACACTGGTTATAAATGTTCGATTTATTTAAAAAAATATTAAATATTAAAAAGAAAAAGGATGTAAAAACTATTGTCAAATGCTACTGTAGAGTTTATATTATAAATACGTTTGCAGTGGCACAGAGACACCAAACACTGCTTGCGTAGCCAGTGGTGTTTTCAGACGTAAAAGTAATGAGATTCTCTGCGTCGCTGGCAGCAGGCCAACCTTTTGCTGGGGTGGAGAACTGGAGGGTGTCAGAGAAGAGCAGCACCACAGTCAGAGAACAGAACCGCAACTCATCTGCTTATCAACAGACGCAGCACAAATAATTTTACGCTAGTGACACCGGACATTTCTCTGTGGCAGTAACACCTGTGTACTTTTATAAACATCACCACACTGCCTTAAATACGTGAAGGAGTTTGACATTTTAACCTGGTTTAATTTACATTTTTGACATTTTATTTATACAATTCCTGTTCTACGGTACTGCTATATTTTTGTATTTTATTTCCTGAACATTTAACCATGTCTGAATAACATCTCTATTTTTGCTCTCTGAGTTTTTAAAATAAAATTTTCCCAGCAATTTTTTTTAACGTTATTGTTGTTGAGCTTTTTGTGTTCGATATTGTGATTTGCTTTGACATACTTGGATCAATATTAATCAACAAAGAGCAGTGAATCACATATGTTAATGTTTGTGCAGCCAGGGTTTACTGATAATTGGCCACAGATAGAGCTCAGTGCTTCAGCTCTAGCTCATGCTGATCAGCTCGCTCTGCTGCAGTGAGGGAGAGCGAGTGAGCATGTGTGTGTATAATAAAGAGAGAGGGGAGGGGGGGCGATGGAGAGATGGTGGGAGGGACTGAGAGGCAGCATGTGCATCAACGCACAACATACCGCACTCTAGGCTCACACCACTGTGCTATTCTCCTACCTTCCTTTCTCACCCATTTCTCCTTAGTGTGTTTTCTTTATTTTTAGATTGTTTAGCTTATTTTTTTACTCGCTCGTTTTTTTTTTCCTTACCCTTTCCTTTCCCCCTTATTGTTCCCTTATCCCTATCCCCCCTCTTGCAGTTCTCCCACCTTTTGTTCCTGCATTGCACGCCGAAGATGACACCTCTAATTTTGAGGAGCCGGAGCAGGCAGCCCCCCGACCAGCCTCAGCATCCCAGCGAGGAGCTCGGTCACTGGGCTTCCAGGGCCAGGATCTGCCCTTTTTAGGCTGGTTCTTCAGTGGAGCTTTAACTGCATTGGCCAAAACTGAGTAAGTGCTACCTGTTTACCAAGCCGATTTTGCCACCCCATGCATTTCCCTTGATTTAAAGACAAGACCCGTGGCTTGACTGTAGTCGAGGTAGAATCCCAGACTCTGCATACACCTTTCTTTAACACCCCTTTGTGTTACAGACCCTATTATATCCTTGGCTGCTGTTTATTACTGGAACATAAATCCCCGGCTGTCTTGTTTCAGGTGACCTAGTGTGTTGCCCTGGGCTGTAGGTGTTGTGTTCCAGTCATTAGAGTGTTGTTTGTTGGGGGATGAAAAGGGTTTGGCCACATACTGGAGAGGAACTGCTTGAGGGATCCCCCTCTTTTTATCTAATGCCCTCTTCTACTGATTTTGTTTTCTTCTTCTCTGCTTTGGTTGTTGTTAGTGATTTTCATAAATAAACTCAATGGATCAGAGGATGTGAGCTGGTGCTATTCTGCCATCGGCACTGATTGGTATGCAGCTGAGTGTGTCAATGAGGTTTGGTGAGAGGTGGAACCCCACACACTGACGTACCCAACCCTTGTTCGTTGCCATTATTGTGCTATCTGCACAGCATTATAGACATCTGACTTTTATATCATGGATTTTGAGGCTGTAGTCATCTCTTATTGTCTATGGATTCTTAGCCCCTCATAATAATCCAAGGGGATAGGTTTGAGCTCATTGTCCATTGCAGTTATCCGCCAGGTTAATGGTCCTGGAGACTGCAGATTATATCAGCAGTAGTGGCAACAGAAAAGGAAGAAAAAGATTAGAGAAGAAAAGGGATGAGAGCTAAAATTGGGAAAAGAAAATCTATTTCTATGGTTACTGTGGGGTTTTTTTTAATTCTTTTTTTTATCACCAGTCCCCACCCCCATCTTTAACCATGTCTTAGCTTCCTCTGTTTTTCTCCCTCTTCAAATGCCCGTGTCCCTTCCTGTTTCACCATCAGTCATCTGTTTGCGGCTTTAATGAAAAGCCAGGCGTTTTCTTCCCTGCATTTAATTAAGAGAGCTCATAGAACACATTGGTGTTGGAGTGTCACATTGGTGTTGGAGTGCTCTGTATGTGTGTTTATTCCCTTTTTCCAATAACAAACAGGAAATTAAAATGAATGCAGAGCTTGGCTTATTGATGCCAGTACTTTGTTTTGGGGGTTCCTGCTGTTCTTCAGGGTTATTTTTACCGTTTTCCTCTCTGTACGCTTGTCTGTATGACTCCTATTAGTAAAACATAACAACAAAAACCCCTGCTTTAAAGGAAAAAAATATTGTAATTTAATTACAGCCTCTTTCAAATTTTGGATTTTGTGGATTTAAGTAATTCTGTGATGCATACACACTACATTGGTGTGCAGTAGTTTGATGGAATAATGAAAAAAATATGAGAGAATAAGAGAGAATGTTTTTTTACAAAACTTATTTTAATTATTTACTTATATTAAATTACAACATACAAAATATGTTGTTGGCATGAGATTAATAATCAGAGATTATCTGATTTCAGTCATTGGGATCCAGGTCCAGACAACTAATGTCTGGATAAGTCTGGCTAGACATGGTCCTTGATAAATAGTTGTCGACCAAAAAAGCCCTGTCTTTTATGGCATTGAAATAAAAGTGAGTCATCTGTGAATAAAAAAAATCTGGGGACTGGGCTGCAAGAAAATGGCAGGAGGTGATCTGAACGGATGAGTCGCAATTTGAAATATTTGGCTGTTGTATAAGAAAGTTTAGGAAATTGTACAATAATGAATGTATTTAGACAACAGAAGCTTCTCTGTTGTCTAAATGCATTCATTATTGTATAATTTCCTAAGTTGCAGGTTTAGGGCTGCATGCCTGCAAAATAGTCAGGAGAATGTGTGTCTTTGATGCTTAGAGCAGTTACTTGTGCATCTTTTATTACCATCAATAGAGGTTTCTAACTGGACACACAGTTGAGTCAAGTGTTATTATAATAACTGACCGGATTGTCATTCATAGCTACAGCCAGATGGTTATGATATGTGTAACCGTGATCCCCACAGGATGACTCTTGATGATTTGATAAGCAGATGACCTTTTGTGCAGCAACAGCTTTTCTCTTCTAATTGGCGAAAGCAGCAGTCAAGGGCCTAGTATTTCATGACAACCTGGTTTAAATATATTATTCAAAAAGGATTGTTAAGTTTTCCTTCTACATAGAGCATGAATATGTTAAATATGTGTGGGATATTCCAAATTAGTATCTAATTCTTATTGCATATTAAAGTTTCATGTCCAGAAAAGTTGGTACACCTAAGTACAATGCAAAAATGGTGGTGTTTGTTATATTGTTCTGTAAATGGCTGTTTTTAATTTAAAGACAACTCTGTTGAATAGTTAGCATAGAGCTTTCAGCCTCGACACAATTCTCTTTCTTTACTTTGTGTTTAATGAGATGTTGAGTGAACCTGGGTTTTTTTTAAAGGTGGAATTATTTTTAGGATGGTGTGAGTCATCCTTGGTCAACTTTATTAAATATTCCCTATGAAGTATTTGTGGCTGTATTCATAAGACTCTCTTACTTATTGAGCTTGACTGCAGAGCTCGTCAACTCTGAAACACAGAAACGTGATGCAGACATTGGATTTTGTCTTTATGGTTGTTCTAGAGCTGCTTATTAACTAATAAAGTATTTCTGCATAAGATTTCACAACAAGTAGATACTGAACTCAAAGCCTGATTGACTTTAAATAACTTGCAAAAGACTTAAAGCTGTCAGGACTATCATGATTATATGAGGAGTTCTTGTTCTTAATAACAGCCCAATTTATACTTCGATGTTTACTTAACAAAATCCTGTTTGTGTTTTGTTTTGTTTTTTGTAAATACTTTTGCTGCTCAAATGATCAAGTCTTCATGGAAAAAATATTTTTTAATTGGATGATTCTTTTTGATAAACCACACCAATGATCAGATCTAAGAAATTCTAATTACATCCTCTAAAACATGCAACATGCACTGTTTTGTGAGGCATACAGTAAATATCTCAGTTTGGTCTTGCACTTAAATGAACTAAACTAAAGAACACATTAAAAAAAGTCTGTATTTATTTATCTGTTAGCACTGAATATCATTTGTTGTTTCTAAAGTAGGTTCTCCCTAATTAATTCTCAAACGTCTGTTGCTCATTTTTGTGTGGGTGTTGTCTGTCTGCATTTCAGCCATCTTAATTGCAGCTATAATACTGCTACAGCCTGTTGTTAGATAATGTGTTTATGTTATGATTGAAACTGTCTGTCGTCGTGGGTCTCTTTTGCAGATATGATTTATTAAAATTATCCGATTTAATTTTAATGTGCTCATGATTTATTTTTCTATGGCTTTACTTGGTCAACATTTTATTGGAGAAAGTTATTATTCATATGACTTCATATGACTGAAAGATTTCAGTAAATTAGTAAATGTATTTTGTACATGTGGTCTTGGATCAAAGAAGTTTTTTAATTGTGCTCAGGTCAGTGTCAGCAGGTCTCAACTCACCTGCCAAGACCAACTCCATGGAAAAGAAACTCAATCTTAAAAGCAAAGAACTACAGGAAACTCAAGACAAATGTCACAAGGTGAGATTGCTCTTTTTATTGTTTATTCATCTAAGTCATTTTTTCCAGTTTATTTTTAAAAAGGCTTGCATTTGGCCTTTTATTTACATGTGATTAAACCATTCTCTCTGGTGGTTTCAGATGGAGCAAGAAATCTCAAGGTTCCAGCGTAAAATGACTGACCTGGAGTCAGTACTCCACCAGAAGGATGTGGAGCTGAAGGCGTCTGAGACTCAGAGGAGCATCCTGGAGCAAGACCTCGCCACCTACATTACTGAGTGCAGTGTGAGTGTGTCGGGTGTAACAAAAATTCTTTGTGTTGATTTTACTTTTTCAAACAAAAAATCACATTTAAAATTGCATGATTTGATGCTGTTGTCATCGCCCCACAGAAACATTGAATTTTTGGGTGTGCTTTTGCAGAGTTTGAAGAGAAGCTTGGAGGAGGCACGTGTGGAGGTCTCTCGAGAAGATGACAAGGCCATGCAGCTGCTTCATGACATACGAGAACAGAGCAACAAGTTGCAGGAAATTAAAGAGCAAGTATGGAAATCTTGTTGTTTTAAAGTCTTGTTTTGGCTTGCTCTTCTTCTCACTGTATTTAAAATACACTTAATATTTCTAAACACAGTCCGTGTAAGTTATTAGAACTGAAGAGGCCTCTTGGATGAGAGGTCGAAAAACATCTTCTAGAAACCTAGCAAATAGCCCAGTTCCTACTTCTTAACTGCTTCTGGCTATACTTTTGTTTTGTTTTGTTTTTTTCTATAAAGCCCTTATGCAGTTTATCACACTTGACATATTTATACTTGCACGGCTGCGAGTGGAAAGAACTGGAGCAGCAGTGAGCTTACGTTCCTCCTCAGTGTGTCACTGTTACGCAGACAGGGCTTCCCCTCTCAGGACTTCCATGTCCTCACTTCTCATAAAGGTCATTTCACCAGATGGTGTCCCTGTGAGATACAAGAGGCCAGTGTACTCTCATCATCATGTTACAAATGTGCTCACTCACTAATCCTTGGAATATTGTTTACAGTGTAGAATTGTTTGCACACATTAGACTAATCAACAGATCAATTCAATGTAGAAATGTATTCACACACAAACCCACACAAACACTATTTACTGGGAGTGTGAAGTCATACTTACCTGTCATTTTACAGACTTCTGCAGCTAGGAAGTGCAAACTTGCCATCTATAGCCCTTGAGCCACAACCCCTGAGCTCTTATCTTTGATTTTGACACTTTTTGTGATAAATGGCCATTGCAGGAGTACAATGCAGTTTCAATAGATCACAGAACAATGAAACAGTGTCAGCAGATCTATGGAGTTACATCTCTGTCTGTATAGCGTTGGCAGAAACTGCTGCGCACTTTACGTCTCAGTTCCTTTGTTTGTACAGTGCTTACTACTGTTGTTTTTGTTGGGTTTTTTTTATTATTTGAAGCACAGAAGTCTTCTCTGGGTTCTCTGACACGTTTACATGCAGTAAAATGTAGGGAACTCATTCAAAAGCATTGAGGAGTTTAGTTCTTGATATACAGTATTGAGCAGATACAATTATGAGATGACCTTGATATGCATGAATAAATCTTAGCAGTATATGATCCCTGTCTCACGTCTCCTCTCTTCCTGTTCAGCTTCACCAAATTCAGTTTTGACCTTATTAATAATTGGTGCTGTTTTCAGGAGCAACATTTTCAATATTATTGACTACTGTGTTGCTTTTCTTTGTTCTCAGGAGTACCATGCCCAGTTGGAAGAGATGCAGGTGACCATCAGGCAATTGGAGGAGGACCTGTCAGCTGCACGCCGCCGCAGTGACCTTTACGAAGCAGAACTTAGAGATTCCCGACAAACAAGCGAGGAGCTGAAAAGGAAAGCTGTGGAATACCAGCAAAGAATCCAAAAGGTACGTTTGTTTCTGAGTTTGTTCAGCTGTTCAAGTAAATGGGAAAAACAGCCAATGCTAAGGATAAGAAAACAGTTTTTCTCTTTCTACCACGTGCTGCTTATTTTTCAGGCTAAAGAACAGGGGAAGTCGGAGGTGGAGGAAATACTCTCCAAGCTCGAGAAGGTATTCGTTTTTTGTACTCCTTTTGTCACAGATATTCAACACTGACTGTCATACTAAACCCTTTTTTTATTCTCTTTAAAGACTAATTCTGAGCAGCAGGTCAAAATCCAGGAGTTGCAGGACAAGCTGTCCAAGGTAAACAAGATGACAGTGTTTAATTCTTAATGACTTAAATTTAGCTTATAATTTTATAGTCCCTGGAACGCTGCCTCAGTATCTAATTCAATGCAGAAGATCTGTTTTTGTCAGACTGCTTTATATTTGTTTGATAGTGGGTTCTCTTTTTTTTATTTGCAATATCTCAGAGACTTAAAAATTGCTCAAGTGAATGAAGAGGTTTGTTTTCAGTCCCACTAACAGTGATCTTACGTTTGTTTTCCCCAGGCTGTGAAAGCAAGCACAGAGGCAACTGAGCTACTGCAGAATGTCCGACAGGCCAAAGAGCGTTTGGAACGTGACCTGGAGCGTCTACGAGGCAAAAATGACTCCAGTGACACTTTAAAACGTCGCCTGAGAGAGACAGAGGTGCCTTGTTAATCTATAGTTTATTTTAGACCAAACCCTTTGTTGTTAGTTAAATTTTCTCCTTCTATCTTCCTGTGTAAGCAGGAGGGCAGGAAGACCCTAGAGAACCAGGTCAAAAGGCTGGAGATGGTTGAGCGGCGAGAAAATAAGCTGAAAGATGACATTCAGACCAAATCCCAGCAGATTCAGCAGATGGCTGAAAAAATCCTGGTAAGAAACAGATTAATATTAGTATTGACCGAGTTTCACCATTATTTACACACAGTTTCATCCATCTTATTCCCCACCTTTCAGGCCTAAATAATTTTTAGTTACCCATTATTTTTGGGCAGCCCCAAAGTCTGGGGGTTAATGGCACTGGCTTCTGATGGAAGGAATGTGGGTTTGACCCTTGTTCAGGCCAGACAAATAAATACTACAATAAAACAAAACTCCAGGAAAGTATCCAAAGCAAATATATCAGCAGGTGTAGTTCAGAAACCTTTTCATTTCAGATATACACTTAAAGGAAAAATGTCAAGGAGCTCTATGGAGCCCTATGGAGAGGAAATTCTTCCTGTTCCAAAAGCATATTAAAAAAAGGCCTAATCTCCTAGCATGTTGTTGGAGACAACAGCACATTTACATATTCTAGTTTCGAGGGACATTTGAGTATAACTTTCTTGTTTTGCAGTGGGGATTTTTTACTGTTACTATCACTCTAATCAAACCTAAGGGCAACGACAGTGTTTTCTGATTCCTACACTAACAATGACTTTCTGACATTTCTCTCTTCAGGAACTGGAGGACAACCTGCGAGACGCTCAGTCCACAGCTCAGAGGATGGAAACACAACTTGTTCAAAAAGAGAGGCTGTATGAGGACAAAATTAAGGTGAGTGTTTAACCTTATTCACTGCACCCCTGAAAACTTCTAAATCTGTGTGAGACAAGTTTGGCTATTACTATAGTTTTTATTGTTTGTTCTCGAACTGTATTAATATTACTTTAATACCAGCATCAAATGAGAGAACTTACAAATGTATCCCTGTATAAAACTGCATTCATGTCTGCTTGTTGAATAACTGCCTGCTGAATGCGTATATTTAGGTGTAGTAACTCATAGTCAATGCTTCCGTTTTAAATCAGTGTTGTGTTCGATGTTAGTCAGCGCTGCCACGTCTTACTCTGAGCTTTGACACCACATTAATTACTGCTGTACTTTTACAACCATGTCAATACCAAAGATGATTTTTATCCCTGACTCAGTGCTTTCAAATACAGAACATCATGCACACAAACTTAAATGACAATTCCACTCTCGAATATTTACTTTCTGATCAAGATCCTGGAGGCCCAGATGAAGGCAGACATGGCTGACAAAGAGAGTCTGGAGGCCAAAAGAGCCCAGCATGAGGAAGAGTCCAGAGAGAACTGCAAACTAATCAGTGAACAGAAAGCAGTAAGGAAGCACACCAGACTGTTTTGTCTATATTTATAGTTTAAGGGTACATTCATGTCAATAGTACATATTTTTACTGCAGTGTTTGTCCTAATGATTGAAATTATCAGGGTGTATAGAATTGACTAGATCTGAATTCAGCTGCATGCCCATTCCTTCATAATTGTTACCTTTTCACTGCATGTCTTTCCTCCAGTGTGGTAAATGGAAAATATGTGTATAAGTGTATGGGTTCAAAGTGCCTCGGTTTTTGTTGAAAGAAATTGAAATATATTTCATGTTACAGTTTCCAAGCTCTCTCCCACATTCTTATCTGCTTAATGTGGTGGTATTAAAGCACTTAAGAAGCTTTTAGGGGCTTCATCTGACATTGACAGTCAGACACAATTCAGGCAACACCTTAATGGACTTAATAGGATTTTACCACAGTGCAAAACTCCTTTCCTATAAAAATGAGCTGCTAAAACACCAGTCCCCAGATTCTGAGAAGGGATTTGTTTTTCAATCAAAATGGATTTTACAAGCCATGTGTTTGGTTCTTTTTGCTAAAATGTTACTTCAACCTTATTTTGTCTCCTTCCTGCAGACCATTAATGCAATGGATTCAAAGATGAAGAACTTGGAGCAGCGCATTGCTGAGCTGTCAGAGGCTAACAAGCTGGCTGCTAACAGCAGCATCTACACCCAGAAGAATATGTGAGTTAACCAGATCATCTGCCCACGCTGTGCTTTCATAAGCCCCCCACTCACACTGTGTCCAGAGGATTCATTAGTGTGTGTTTTGGTGTTTTTCTTTTCCAGTGTCCGATCTGTCTGAAGATTAAAGCATCATTTGTTTGGTTAGATTGTGTGTTAAAATTATTACTTTTAGAGCATACAATGTTGTGTTTAAAATTGTGTCCAAAATTGAGATTATCTAAATTTAATTTAGATAATCTAATTTTGGACAAAATTTTGAACACATCTGAACATTGAAATGGATATTTAAAGGATTACAATTACATTTTGAATGTATTTTCTTTTTATAAAAATACGCAAAGATCATATTATTTGAAAGATTCTCAGTGATTAATTCCTTAACCATGTTTTTATGTTGGGTTTTTTTTGTGAGCTTAGGAAAGCCCAGGAGGAGATGATCTCAGAGTTGCGGCAGCAAAAATTCTATCTGGAGTCTCAGGCAGGAAAGTTGGAGGCTCAAAATGCCAAACTGGAGGAGCACTTGGAGAAGATGAGTCAACAGGAGCAGACAAAGAGGACGAGGCTCATGGAGCTGGAGAGCAGGCTGCGGGAGGTGAGGCAACAGGAAACACGAGACAAAATGAGCTTCTCTCTGTTGTGCACAACGGATAGAAGCTCATCAGCTCACACGCTAAGATTCCTTTCAGATAAAGATCTAATTATAGCAAACAGATACAATGGCATCTTCACCAATCTGTCATCAGGCCCTTACACAAGCTTCATGTCTCTCGGATTAGGGGATTTCATTGGATTAATTTGATTTCTGTGTGATGATGCAAATGGTTTGGCTGACAACATTTGCTGGATTTTGTTTCACCAAATGAAAACACACGATGACAATGGATAGTTTAAGGTATAATAATGTACCCAAAACCTGCACATCAGTGTTTTGTGAGGTCTTAAATCAACACTTATTCTCAGCCATTGCACCGCCTCCCCTCCTGACTGTGGGACAACCTGCTGATTGAATGTCAAAGCTCGATCTCCTCTCACTCTCCCCTGCCAAGATATGACATGTAGATTGGCACTAATTACTAGCCTCACTGCCCTCCCACACGCACATTATCATCTTACACTTCTGTTGGTACCGTATTATTATTTTCACCTCTGTAAGTAAGAAACCTTTGAAGAAGAACCTCACCAGAAATTGTTTTTATAAATATTATTTCCATTTCCTCTACCATCTATTTATATTTTTGGTGATTTTTCACTTGTCCTTATTTCTGATTTTTCTTTTTTTTCTGAATTTTGAGTGCAATATTTCATAAAAGAAACAATCTTAAAGAAAAAAAACATCACTTACTGTACATATAAAAACAGTTGTTTGCTGCTCTCTCGCTTCATTGCCCTCTCTGCCAGCAGTAATATGCCACCTGCACTGTAAGCCATTCCCACACAGAGGATTGCAGTGAAATTCTCCTGAGGGGAGGAAGGATTATATGCCTCTGAAGATGCCATTTTTAAAAATTGTAGCATTATAATAAATTATAAGACAATTTCCTAATTTTCCTGAGACCACTTCCCATGCTTTCCCAATTTTTCAGTTGAGGTCCAAAAATTCTTGAAAAAAGGGTTTGAGTGCAAGATAAAACACAAATTTGTTTTCATCCATGTTCTTTTACTTTGTAGATGGGACTCCAACATGAAGAAGAGAAGTTGGAGATTAAGAGACAAGTGTCGGAGTTGACTCTGTCGCTGCAGGAGCGCGAGTCTCAGATTAGCAGCTTGCAGGCTGCACGACTGGCCCTGGAGAGTCAGCTGCAGCAGGCAAAGACTGAGCTGGAGGAGACCACAGCTGAAGCTGAGGAGGAGATCACCGCCCTCAGGGTAATTCCTGCGACTACACATGTGCAATTAGACTTACTGATTTATATTTTATATACAAAAAGAGGTGTTTCAGTACACCTACAAGTGTCCTTTTGAAGAGGATCAAGCTGGATTATTATTGTGACAGTCAGTTTTATTGTTGCTCTTCATCTGCCTTCTTTTAGAATCACAGGGACGAGATTCAACGCAAGTTTGATGCCTTAAGGGACAGCTGTTCAGTAAGTCCTCATCCTAAAATACACCAAAAATCAAGTCTTGTTTTTCAGTTCATCTAGGAACAGATTTGATAAACCCCTATCCAGTCACAACAGTTAATATTTCTCTCAGGTGATCACTGACCTGGAGGAGCAGCTGACCCAGCTGAGTCAGGAGAATGCTGAGCTAAACCGCCAAAACTTTTACCTCTCCAAACAACTTGATGAAGCATCAGATGAGAGGGAGGACCAGCTGCAGCTCAGCCAGGAAGTGGACAGGCTGAGAAGGGAGGTGGCTGACCGGGAGATGCACCTTAACAACCAGAAACAAGTAATATATGTACATACTGAAATAACTAAAAGCACCAGTACAGACTTACTGTATTCGACATACATGTATAGATAAAAACATTGTTGATATTGTGTTTTTTTTTTATGGCAACACAAGAAATACTGTCTACTGATCTAATGCAATAAAACAAGTTTGTTTACTAAAAACCTGAAGTGCAACCCTTTCTCTTTCGGCTTGCTTCCTTCCTTCCAGAACATTGAGACACTAAAGACAACTTGCAGCATGTTGGAGGAGCAGGTGGTGGAATTGGAGTCTTTAAATGATGAGCTGCTGGAGAAAGAGAGGCAGTGGGAGGCTTGGAGAGGAGCCCTGGAGGACGAAAAAAGCCAAGCCGAGAGACGCACGAGAGACCTGCAGAGGTTGCTCGACAATGAAAAGCAAAACAGGTGGGAATTCAATGATAAACAATTTTCAGTACACTTAGTAGGTACAGTATTATTGCAACATGTTTCAGGCACCAAATAAAACTTTGCTCATGTCTATTTCGATGTCCATTAACCATCAAACTGCCATTTAAAGCAGAGAGACCACTGCACTTGCAAAAACAAAAAAAAAAGGAGTGAGTGAGAGTGCTGAACAAAGTGTGGAAAGAATTCTGTTACAGCTTTTTCAACCACATCAGCAAATTCCACATTGTTTTCTTTGCTTGACAGCCATGATGATGGGCTCAATGTGTAATCAGTGACAAAAACACTGTGTTGTCTGACCTCAGATTTCCTGTCTACTGTCTACAGGCTCCGTGCAGACCAGCGCAGCAGTGAGTCGCGACAGGCGGTGGAACTTGCGGTCAAAGAGCACAAAGCAGAGATACTGGCCCTACAGCAGGCTTTGAAAGAACAGAGGCTAAAGGCTGAAAGTCTGTCTGATACTGTGAGTCCAAATCTGCTCCCATGTCTTACTCATAATCTAATGTGAAAATCCTCCTCAATTTGAGCCTCTAAAACTGTCTTTTATACATCTTCACAGCTCAACGACCTGGAGAAGAAGCACGCCATGCTAGAGATGAACGCTCGCAGTTTACAGCAGAAACTGGAGACAGAGAGAGAACTGAAACAGAGGCTGATGGAAGAGGTAAAGAGAGACACGTGGTCTGTTAGAGTGCTTATATAAATATACACTTTAAAAAATTAGAATTGTTGTTCCACAGTGAGAAGGATGCCAGTCCAAACTGCTCTTTGTATGTTTGTATTTGTCCATCAATGCTCACAGCAAGGGAAACTGCAGCAGCAGATGGACCTCCAGAAAAGCCACATTTTCCGTCTGACCCAGGGACTGCAGGATGCCCTGGACCAGACCGACATGCTCAAGACTGAGAGGACTGATTTAGAATACCAGCTGGAGAACATACAGGTGATACACACATAGCGGTGTAGAAAGTAAAGTGAAAGTGATGTAGCAAGTATCAGTTGATATCAGCGTGGTTTATTAATTAAAGGACGGGCATGGCATAAACTTCTTTTTGGTTTGCCCTCTATGCATGGGTTTGTGTGAGCATTTGTCTCTTTCCTGCAGGCTGTATACTCCCACGAGAAGGTGAAGATGGAGGGAACCATCTCACAGCAGACCAAACTTATTGATTTCCTCCAGGCAAAAATGGATCAGCCAACCAAGAAAAAAAAGGTCTGAGGATAACATTATCTAACAACTATAACACATGTTGGATTTATTGCAATTGTTGCAGTGGTTACGTACAGCAATAATGATTATCATGTCTTTTGTGCAATGTCACCATTAAATGTATTGCCTTTTTTCTACCAAAGCAGGGAATATTTGGTCGCCGCAGGGAGGATGTTGGTACCACAACGAATGGTGCGCTAGCCCCGCAGCCTCAGCCAGCAGTCCCTATGCAGTACAGTGACATGAAACTGGCTTTGGAGAAGGAACGTTCTAGGTGTGCTGAGCTAGAGGAGGCTTTACAGAAGATGAAAATAGAGCTTAGATCCCTGAGAGAAGAAGGTATGAACAGCAGACACTTTTTTTTTTGTGGAGAAATTAAGTCTTGGTTTTTATTCACAGTTTTAATTCAAGTTAAAAATCTGTCTAGATTCTATTCAAAAATCTACCTATCGCTTAGTAATGGCTCTAAATTTGCTGTCACTGATCTAATATGAGGATTGCTTATTTACTTGTTGTCCTACAGCGGCTCACTTCAAAGCCCAGGAACATGTGGCTCCCTCTACTCCGGCCCAGGCTCGCCATCAGATTCTCATGTCGGCTATTGTTAAGTCCCCAGAACACCAACCTAACCCCAGTAGCCTGCTCAACCCCTCCACCCGCTGTAAGGAGACATCCACACCAGAAGGTCAGTTTCAGACACAAACAGATCAAACACACAAGTACACAATTAAATCGCAATAGATGTAACTTCTGGTGATCTCCACTTCACTGAAGTACTTACAGCCAGTCAGTGTCAACACAAATGGAGCTCCTTGTTTATATATGTTGTTGTTGTGGTGTCTCGATATGAATGTTAATTTTTTTTGGCCTGTCTCACCAAGCAGGAATTTTGAACCAGAGTAGTTGGAAATAATAAGCTAGGGACTTTGAGGCACAAAAAGCAGTGGCAATTTTAATTTGAAAATCATTGTGATCCTGCTTGGAGACTGTTTCACAAAGCAAGAATCATTATTTGGGAGAGTAACGGGAGATTAATGGTGTCTTGGTGGTTAAGAAAGCTCCATGGCACTTGAGCTGCCCATTTGGTGCCTGTCTGAGTTAATCTTGCTTTGTGAAGGAGCTATTTCTTCCTTTAATTCATGTACAGTAGCTATGGTTAGACTCCTGTCTCCTCTCTGTCTCTTTCTGTCCTCCTGCTCCTCACAGAAAAGAGGAGGGTCACCTTTGAAAGTAAGTTCACTCCCTCTGCAGTGTGTCTCTGCATGTGCATGAGCTCATCAACATGCATTACACACAACACACATATTTGTAACATACATACTGTAAGTCTCTCCTGTTCTGTCAAAATGATGTGTTCACTTGACAAAAATCCTGTCTCCTAAGGTTCACACTTGTCTTTTTCTACTGCCTCACTTCCTGCAGTTGTTGCCTTAAAAATGTATTCAAAGGAAAGTTTGCTTCTCATTCAAGAGCATTTTATTTTATCTCATGACATTCATAAACTGATTCCTATGGACTGTTTTACAGGAAATATTCCATCCATATTGAAACTGCCCATTGCTGACTGAACGAGAATAGAACTTGTTTATTTTTTTTTATTATTTCTGAAGTGATGTAATGTGTGATGTTTCAAATCTGTCTCACTTTGTGTTACAGAGTTTGGTCGACGTGTGAAGGAAAGAATGCATCACAACATCCCTCACCGTTTCAATGTGGGGCTCAACATGAGGGCTGCAAAATGTGCAGTCTGTCTGGACACTGTGCACTTTGGACGTCAGGCTGCCACTTGTCTGGGTCTGTGTCCTTTACAGAGGCTGGGAAATGTACCAGATGTGAAAATGTTTCCTAGAAAGGCTTATTTACAAAATCTTAAAAATATTATCTTCATATTTAATATATATATAATCATATTTTTATGCTTGTATGATTTTTGTTTAGTTTTTTATTTAAATATTTTTTTAAATGACCTCAAGGTCAAATCAAATTATTATTGACATCTGTTGAGGGAGCCAGATTTAGGGGATTCATGGGCCACAAGTTTGACAGTCTTGTGTAAACATTGGATTGTTTACATTTGTTCAAATAAGTATTCATTCCCTCTGTCCATCTGTCTTTTTGCAGAATGCCACACACTGTGTCACCCTAAATGCTCACCTTGTCTCCCGGCCACCTGCGGTCTGCCAGCTGAGTACGCCACTCATTTTTCGGAGGCTCTGTGTCGGGAAAAGGCAAACTCACCTGCGCTCCAGGTGAAAGAGGCCAGTGGGCATGTTCGCCTAGAGGGGTGGATGAAGCAACCCAGGTAACTGTTCAGACTGTTCCCCACTGCTGCAGTGGACCTTACATTCAATGATATCAATAAATTCAAATTAGACCATGTGCCTTTGTTTAGGAATGCAAAGCGAGGTCAGCAGGGCTGGGAGAGGAAGTATGTGGTGCTGGATGGAACCAAAGTATCGATCTATGAAAATGAGCCCAGAGAGGGTGAGTTCTGAGTTTCAAAATATTGAATAATCAACCTTTTTTAAGATTTTCAGGGCAACAGAAGTTCTCACGAGTTACCTGTTTTTAATAGACTGTATAAAGGCAGAGGAGGAGTTTGAACTGTGTATGCCTGATGGAGAGGTGTCTGTTCATGGAGCTGTTGGAGCCTCTGAACTTATCAACACAGCCAAGTCAGGTACCAGAACGGCTTTACCTTATTTTGTATATTAGACACATAAATCAAAAATGTTTTGAAGAAGAACAATTTTCTTATATAAGTCTCGTTTTAGTTTTGGATCAGTTTATTAGAAATTGTCCCTTCTTTGGGATTCTAGACTCTAGACTCTTCTAGACTCACGCGTCATGATTTTCAGTGTAATATCAAAGTACATTCAATGTTTGGACTTTTCTGCTCAACCGTGAAATTGAGCATTTCACCTGATGTCGGATCTGTCCATCATTCTGTGTGCGTTCCCAGACATCCCGTATGTGTTAAAGCTTGAGTCACATCCCCACACCACCTGTTGGCCGGGACAGTCGCTGTATTTTATGGCCCCCAGTTTCCCTGATAAGCAGCGCTGGGTAGCAGTGCTGGAGTCTGTGGTGGCTGGCAGCCGAGGATCTAAGGACAAAGGCGAATCTGATGCTGTGAGTATGACCTGAGTATTATGATTGTGTTAAGACGATCAATGATTGTGTTAGGACGATCAGGTCTAAAAATGTAAAAGTGCCAATTCAAAGTTGCTCAAAAGAAAAAAAGAAGCTAAGTGATATTTTACATAGTAATATTATCAAGAGATGCCTGTACTGTTGATGTGAAAATGTTGGCTTAAATATTTTGAATGCATCCATTCAACATTAGCCTGTGCCTTCACTTCTTTTTCTCCCCCTCCCTCTTCTCTTTCTCTCTCTGCATGTTCTCAATATCTTCTATCCATGTTGTCATTGTCTTTGTTTATGTGATTATGCTTGTGCGTGTTTGACATCATTCAACTCGGTTGTGTGGATCATATTATAGGCAGGTGTTTCTAAAAGACAGAAGAACCTTTCCCCTCTGGTTCAGGTACAGTAAGTAGCTGCACGAATGCTTGGGCTTCAGTTGACTGACCGACTGAGCATGCAGTAGCTGTACTCGTCTACACACACGAGACTGTTTGGTACAGGTCAATACAGTACTAGGCTTAGTTACTGAATATGATCCATGGGACAAACCACCCTTTGACACACATATGTACACACATAGTGCATTGATGTGAATGAGCACATCTGTGCACATTTGGCCTGGTATCATACAGTATGTTTTGGCATGAAAGCTTCTGCATAAGCCATGTGCTGCTTTAGCCGCTTTCTCTGACATACAAACACATGCAGTGTAAACCCGTGCACACACTTTGCAGTGTGAGCTCAAGCCCAGTCTTAAAACCCTGTTATTGGTTTGTATTATTTCCTCTTTTTTTGTCATCTGCTCTGCCTTCCGTGCCATAATGACCTTTTGGATTCTGTCTTAGATTTTCAGCAAGCTTTACTGCTCAAGCCTACACTTGTAACCCCCACCTCCAGCCCCCGACCCCTTTGTCTAATTATGTTGCCTTTTTATAAAAACAATGTTATTTCCTAAGGTGTAGTATAAAGTTGGTAGATCATGGTTATGTTAAAAAAAACAGTTCAGTCAAACTATATTTGTGGAACACACACTACTTTTCAATACCAGAAGCCAATGCTAGAAGGCATTTTGCTCCAGATAAAGAGCTTAAAGCTCGATACAAAGAAATGCACTTTTAAACCCCACCTTTGTTTTAATCTGATTAAAATAGAGCAAAATTAACCGGGGCCTACAGACAGCATTTCCCAGAATTTGTGGTGACCCACATTTCAATGGCAGGAATTGCCAAGTGTTCGGGCTAAGAAATGAGATCTGAAATTACCCAAAGTCAGTGTTTACCAAAACCTTTCAAAATGTATAATAAAAAACTGAAAATCCTCAATTTCCTGAAAAGTCTTTTTCACAGACTGTGCTTTTTGATTGTTTTGAATTCACGGGCGCATCGCCTAAAGTCTGACCGATGTTTATTAGCCATTTGGTCCTACACTAGGAAACATTATGTACAAAACATCAGTAGTTCAGTTTGAGAGCTACAGACTTTTTTATATATATATTTTTTTTCATTTGGGCTGGGAATAAAGAATATACACACTTAAAACAATCTCACAAAGTATTTTTTCAAACGCTTGCCTGAGCCCTGTTCTTCTGCTTTAAATCTTCACATGCTCCTCAGATTTCCCATTTCAAATATTGTCTATTCTTTTGTCTTATTAGAAACTTTTGGGCAACTCCCTGCTGAAACTTGAGGGTGACGACCGTTTGGACATCAACTGCACTCTCCCTCTCACTGACCAGGTACAAAGAAAAAAGCATCAACATTTGATTTGAGTCTGAGGTGTAACCTTGATCGTCAGATATTTTCTGCGGTTCTTTACCAGTCAAACCTTTGACCTGCCCTATTTTCTCTCCCAGATTGTGTTGGTCGGCTCTGAAGAGGGTCTGTATGCCCTTAATGTCATAAAGAACTCACTGACCCACATCCCAGGGCTAGCCTCTGTCTTCCAGATCCAGATCCTTAGGGAGCTTGATAAGCTGCTAATGATCACTGGTAGGAAATATGGCCATTGTACTCAGTTTTCACAAGTTATAACTGTTATTAACAGGCACAGAACGATACATTTTAAACTGCAACATTTTGTTGCAGGAGAGGACAGGGCGCTGTGTCTGGTGGATATCAAGAAGGTGAAACAGTCTCTGTCTCAGTCCCATCTCCCAGCTCAGCCTGACCTCAACCCCTTCATCTTTGAGACGGTGAAAGGATGCCACCTCTTCTCCTCTGGAAAGGTGAGTCAGGCTGTCCTAATTTTCACAAGTTACAATTGTAACTAAGGACTGTGATTAGGTTGGAGTTAATGGTGGGTGTAATAGCATTTGATTGCCGTTATTTAAAGCTGTCCCGCTCCCTCCCTCTCTGCAGATTGATAACGGAACTTGTATCTGTGCCGCTATGCCCAATAAGATCACCATCCTGAGACATAACGAAAGCCTGAATAAATTCTGTATCAGAAAGGTGAGTGGACTTTAAAGATGTTTGCTGCGGCATTCGTGCAATGAAGATTTTGATGATGGGTTTCTGTGTAATTTGTATTTACAGGAGATTGAGACCTCAGAGCCCTGCAGCTGTATCCACTTCACTGGCTACAGCATCATTATCGGCACCAACAAGTTCTATGAAATTGAAATGAAGCAGTATGTGTTGGAAGGTGGGTTAGAAACCTAAAGCAAACCAGGCTGTTTTTATCAACCCGATGGTCACACCTGATTAAGCTGATTTGGGCTTTAATTTTTTGTTTCTGCAGAATTCTTGGATAAAAATGATGTCACGCTAGCTTCAGCCGTCTTTGCGGCATCATCCCATAGTTTCCCCATCTCCATTATTCAGGTCACCACTGCTCCACAGAAGGATGAATACCTGCTCTGTTTCCACGGTTAGATTTTAGATTTTATGTTTATAAAATTGACATGGTCAAATCAGTTTTTCTTTATCATGAAAACTGCAAATCAACATGCATTAACCTTGAGTGACTAATATTTTTCTCCACAGAGTTTGGTGTGTTTGTGGATTCATACGGCCGCAGGAGCAGAAGTGAGGATATCAAATGGAGTCGTCTGCCCCTGTCCTTTGGTTGGTGATGAATACAGTTTTCTTTTCTTTTCATTTAACTAGTTTCGTTTTTAATTGTCAAAGAAAATGATGTGAATTGTCCTTCTTGGCTTTTCAGCTTACAGAGAACCATATCTGTTTGTGACCTACTTCAACTCTCTGGATGTAATTGAGATTCAGGGTCACGCTGCTCTGGGGTTTGTTTGTTTTGTCCTCTTTGTTATTGTCGGTGGATTCATTTTAGTATAAACCTGTAGATAAAGACTTCATTTTGAGGATAGCTGCTTCTTATAGCTACTAATGTCTTCTGTGATTTTGTTTTTATACAATATATTTTCTAAATAGATTTTGATATTGATAAATGTATCATGGCACAATTTCTCTTTTCTTTTTTCCAGGCCTCACTCTTATGCACACCTGGATATTCCCAACCCACGTTACCTGGGCCCGGCCATCTCCTCCGGTGCCATTTACCTAGCCTCATCCTACCAGAACAAACTTAGAGTCATCTGCTGTAAGGGTAACCTGGCCCAGTGCCAGGAGGGAGGGAGTGACCTGCAGCGGAATGGCTCCGGACGCAGGTGACTTGAGTCTTTAGAATGACTCAAACGTGCATGCTCACATTCTCCTGAAATAGATGATTTGATATTAGAGTTTAGAGTCTCCAATACCAAAATACTTCAGAATCCTCATCTCTTGGAGTTTAGGAATAAATATTATCCTTTTTAAACAGTCAATATTTTCCTACTAGTGTTGTGTAGAGACTGTTGAGACTGTAGTTTTACTCCACTGCATGTTTTCACTGCACATTACTCATATGACGTTGAGAAGTCACTGGTATTCACTGGCACTGACGGCACAGGTTCACCTTCACATGTGGTGATGGTTGAGTTCAGTCTATTAAACTGTTACAAGGGAGTAACTCCTTTGTTTCATCTTTTACAGGAGGAGGAGTGCATTTTTTATCTGTGGCAAATCGTAGTTTGTTATTTTGGAAATAATAACTTAACATTTTTCATTGTTTCTCTTTTAAATGTATAGTTAAAACTATTTAATAAAGAACAATTTACCTCCTTTCTTGTTTTGAGAATGGTCTATCATAATGGTCTAATATGATAACTAAAAAACAGTTATCTTTGTTACAGTGTGTATTTGTAACACTGGTTATCTAAAAGCTGCTGTACTGTATTCTCAATGAGAGAAACAATCAGCTTTGGCCATGACTAGTTCTAACCACTGCAGCGCTGACAATGATCACAACTACAAGACAATCATGACCAGATTTGCTGGCTGACCTGATTCCCACAGTGCCAAGCAACATCCATCTCCCAACACCCAGATTTTATTTCCTTTTTCTTGATTGCTCCATGCCCATTTTTATACCTCACCTCCTCCCTACAGCCCTAACAAGCGCGGGCCTCCGTCTTACAACGAGCACATCTCTAAAAGGCTGGCGGCCAACCCTCTAGTTCACGCAGACCCAGGAACACCACACCGCTACAGAGAAGCTCGCACAGAGTTTCGACGGGACAAGTCCCCCAGTCGTCCACTGGAGAGAGAGAAGTCTCCTGGACGGATGCTGGAAAGCCGGATAGTCGGCTCTCCGGGTAGAGCTATGGCTGACCCTCGGTTAGAGCGTTCTCCGGGCCGGGCCATGGCTGGAGACCCCCGCATGGATCGTTCCCCTGGTCGCATGATGGACGTTCGTAGGGAGCGGTCCCCTGGAAGATATGAGGAGCGTCAAAGGCTCCATACTGGCTCTGGACGCACACCCATCAACTCAGTTAACAAGGTTTGTCAGTCTTTTTAATTTCTCTTTCTGTAGTCACATGTTTTTAAACCACGATTCATGTTGTTTCACTTGTTTCAATCCTTGTACAGAATGTTTTCACATTTTGTCTGTGACTGTAATAACAAAGGTGTTTGTGTTTTCTTTTTTGATGGCACTATCTTTCAGGTGTGGGACCAATCATCTGTGTGATATTTACCTTACGAAAGCAGCACGGACAGAGAAAATCATATTTGAAAAAAGAAAAGGGAAGAAACAGGGGACAGAGAGAAAGAGTCACCAAGTCACGATCAAACACTGCCACATGTCTGTGTTGCCTGACATCGAAAGTGAAAAAACCCCAGAGGAGAAAAACAACAGTACCTACCAGAGTGTCTCAGAGCAGAGAGGAATAAATAAGATGTCATTATAACCAGGTTATGTGTTTCCCTAATGAATTCGCTCGAGTCAGAGGAGGGTAAACAAAATGACACATTAATAATCTGAGCAGTTATTTTCAGTGTAATTAAGTTTATGTGCTTGATTCACACAGGATACAGTGATATGATTTCATCACAGACAGAAATGAGATTCGAATGATTAAGTAAAGATTTGAGGTGTTTGTTTTTTTCCTCTCGCTTCAGTTAACTCCACACACTGTGGAGACTGAAACAGATAAGCACAGCTGTAGCAGCGTTCTCCCACAGGTCAGTAACTAACACGTTTTTAAAAGTCAGTCACAAGATCAAAACAGTAGAGTTTCATTCAAAAGTATCACATCTTTCCACAGTTGTGTGTCCTCTGTAGCTACAGCAGTGGGCAGGAGTCACATCCACCACAGCATCTCTAGCTCCAGTCCTGTGCCGACACAGTTACACACAATCATTCTTAGCTGATTACAATCACCAAACAGGAGTTGGATGCAGCACAAAACTAATTTAATTGAAAAAACAAATGGATGACTGTCTACCCTCACACAAACTAGGCCGTCACTGAAAAAAAGTGCACTACCCACAATCCCACACAGCTACGGAGCAGGACCTTTCTAATCCTACAGAACGCTATCTGACTGTAAATAGATGAGACATAATTTTATATACATATATGTAAATATATTGAGAAGGAATTTCAAGGCTGGATGAAGCCGTGTCTATTTTTGTTAAAGAAGAAAAAAAAAAAGACAAAAGTTAACGTGTCCTTATGAATGTCCAATGAGTATTCTTTTATTCTGTCCACCTGTCTTTTAATCAAAGTGAGTGATTGTATCTGATTCCACCCCGTGTATGCACTTAGGTTCAAATCTCAGAGCTGAATGATGGGGAGTGTGGCGAGAAAAAAAAAAAAAGATCATGTCTGCAGCTCACAGCATCGTACTTGAGCATTTCTTTTTGTACAACCTCCCTTGATATTGTAAATAATATTCTGCTCTGTTTTCATTTTGGTGCGTCAATGGCATGGATATGTATATCTGAACTGAAATGGAGTGTCGTCTTCTGCTTCTGCCTCCTTTTCTTTATAATTTTAATTTCCATAATCCAGGAATTCGCACGTAACCAACTGCTGTTTTTTCTTTTTCATAACTTTTACTTATTTGCTTTGACAATTTTTATTACAATTATTCAATTTTCTGACTTCATTGAGGCATCTATGACAAGCTACATTTTTTAGTCCATACAGTATTAAGCCCTTAACTGGAGCTGGTTTGTTTACCATTTCTTTGATTTGATAAAATTAGGTACTAATTTAACTGACTAAAAAAACGTAAGTAGTTTTTACCTTTCAATTTTTTTTTAATTGCACTATTTTAAATGAACAAAAACTCTTCCTGAATGTATTCTGTATCCACAAAGAATGAAGAGATTCACAGGTCACAACAGAAAGCCCCTGCAGTGACAGATTGCACAAGTTTTCTTCTCAGACCTTTAACAGTAAATAGACCATTCTGTTTTCTTTCATTGTTTTTTTGTTGTTGTTGTTGTTGTTTTCATCACAATCACATTTGGGTTGTTTTCCACTTGCATTAGAATCACAACGCTGTATCAATGGATATGATATTGATGTCTGCTAACAAATGTTTTATTAGCGTTACCTGTAGAGACTTTGTCACAGAATATTAAATACTATGAGCATTGTCTATCACTTCTGTTTGGTTTTCTTGTGGTAGATTTGGTTGAGAGACTCTTTGGGAACTGTTCGGCTTCTTCTACTCTGTTCTTCTATTTAATTTCTTTTGTTGTGATAATAGATTACATTTATTATCTAATTAATAGGTAACAACAGCAAAAGGGCCAGAAAAGTAACCTGATGGATCAAGATATTGCAAGTTGTAGATAAAGAAATACCTGGACGAGTACTGTAGTAAATAGACATGGATCAGTTTAGTTGAACACAACACTGATATACTTATTTTTTCTTCACTTCCCTTCATTACAAATCAAGAGATTTGTAGGTTTTTAGTTTGAAAGATAAGCAAAGCAGAACTTCAGATATTGATGGTCTATTTTCCTTCCAGCTTTTACTCACACACTCACTCTATTCTAACACACACACACTCCAGTCTGCCCAGTGAATTGTCCATTTGTGTACGTCCATTGTGTAAAAAGGATCTGCTCTATTTATAGATGTCTGATTATGGTGTGCAGCCATTCGTTCTGCTGTTCATGTCGCAGTATCTGCAGCGGCTGCTCACACTTGAAAGAGCAAAGCCGTGGTTCTTAACAATAGCTGCTGCCGCCGCTGTTGTTTGTTGACGTGAGCACGTCTTACTTCAACCTTGTCTTATAGACTATGCTGTGAGATGACACCACCAACAGTTGCTGTTGTTTCATCAACAGCATTGTTTCTGGCAGCGTGGCCTTAAGTTCTTCTTTATATAGACCACACACACACACACACAAACATGCACACACGGTCACCGGCTAACCTCACCCCATTTTGGCACACTGTCACTTTTCTTGACCTGAGGAGCAAAGAGTGATACTTGACAACGTGTTAATGGTGCAGATGCATGTTGCACATTGTAAGGATGTGTTAGCGTAGCCACTTGAGAATTTTACACCCACTGCTGTTAACAAAGCTGAGCTTAGCTTCACGCGGTCTTTAACATTAACACTAGTGTACGGCATGCTCTAGATCAAGAACCATCTTTTTAAAGACACAGTTTTGTTAAAGACACTTTTTCACATTATCGCTGATTTTATGTAGTTAATAATATAATAGTAGGGTTAGTGTGATAATGAAAGTTGAAGGGTGACCAATTTAATCGCACCTACTGCACAGTCCCTAACGGACTGGGCTTAGGGTTGAATGAGGAATGGCATTTAGTGTCAAAAGCACTGATGTTGGCTGTAGTGTAGTGGATTAATGCTCTCTTCTAACCTGAAAGTCAGGAGCTCGATTCCAACAGCATGCATGTGCATGCACCAGTTTGTCCCTGGGCAAGTTGCTTATTTTCAAGTTGCTAATAATGCCTAGCAGTGGAAGCTAGGACCATTATTGCATCTTTGTGAAAACTGGTGCTGAATCACATAAGATTCAGATCTAACAAAAGGTCAGCTCTAACTCTGTTTAGGCAAAAACACGCCCAGCTCTAGTACATCACTGTGACTTAATCTTTTAATTGTTTTTTTAGTTTTAACTCCTTTATAGCACTTGTGAATATAGACGGGACATAGATCTGAAACAGCGTAGATCCCATTAGTACAGAGAGCAGTGATTAACTGCTTCAACCTTTAGTCTGATGTTGATATTCTAGTCCAGTTATTCCATGCTCTTTGTCCAGTGATCACAAGTGGATCAGAGTCAAGACGACTCGGGTTGTGTGTGTATGTGTAGTGTATTGTAGTGTATGTTCTGTATGGAGCATCATTTACCTGTCACTTCCTAAAGAGGACATAGTTTATAAATATCGTCCAGTAGAGCTGTGAGCTGGTGCTACAAAAGGCCACCCATCATCTGCCCATTGTTCTCTGGCATCATTGTTTGGTCTGACCTCAGCTGCTCAGTCATGGTAGGTGTTTTCCATTCACTGCTTTATGGATGCTGCGTCTTTGTAACGTGATTTATATTTCCAAGAATTGTCTAAAAGATTTATCAATTTCAGCGAGAAATTCTTTTTCCTACTGTGATTTATGGGCATGATAGATGAAGCAAAACAATTGAGATTGTACTCTTGGAACCAATGACTGTGCTGCTACTATTTTATGGAACTCATGTTTTACTGGTGTTTTCAAGAAAACACCGATAAACATTATTATTATTATTCCATTGTGTTTCACCTGCTTATTGGATGCTTAAATGTTTCCTCAATTTTTTTGAAACTGATCATTCCCAAAATCAATTTCCTATTATTTGGCAATTGTGGCTTTTTTCGATCATTTTGTATGCATCTCCTGTCTCTGTTGCCAAAAGGCCCCCAAGAAAGCAAAGAAGAGGACAGCAGAGGGAGCCAACTCCAACGTGTTTTCCATGTTTGAGCAGGCTCAGATCCAGGAATTCAAAGAGGTAGGATATGACAAGAAAATTCCAAATTCACAAATCAACCATTCAGAGGAGAAGTGGTTCATAAATATGACAGTTGATCAAGCAGCGTTGCAAAGAGATATCCAAGTTCACAGCAGCACACAGGCTAGATTTCTTTGTATTCTATCCCTTTATTTTTTCCATTGTCAGTATGCCCACCTGTCAGTGTTCCCCGTCCATAGCCTGACAGCAGAGTAGCGTGTGGTATGTTGGTATGAAGCTCGTTGGTGCCCAGACATCCAGACTGTGTCATCAGTGATTAGGCCTCGGTTAAACTGCTGGACATGCCCTGAATGCCACACTAAACCCTGGGCTAGAATAAAGCAGGATATAAATACTTGTAGAGCAGTGTTCAAAGATAAAATACAAAAAAATAAAATAAGATAATATAAAAAAGGCTTTATAAGAACCTACAGTAAAGATACCTTCTCTCTGTCCACAGGCCTTTACCATCATGGATCAGAACAGAGACGGCTTCATCGACAAGAATGACCTGAGAGATACCTTTGCTGCACTCGGTGAGATGTTCACTCTTTTATTTCTTTCTATAAATTGGATTAATGCACAAGTAGTGAGGATTTCAATATTTTGAAGTTTTTTGTTTGTTGTTTTTAAAACCCACAGGCTTTATATACATCTGTTCGATTTTTTGTTTTGTTTTTGTTTTTACCTGCAGGTCGGCTCAATGTAAAACAGGAGGAGATCGATGAGATGCTCAAAGAGGCTCCAGGCCCCGTCAACTTCACCGTCTTCCTCACCATGTTTGGCGAGAAGCTGAAAGGTAAAAAGCTCACAGGGGAAAGAGGATAAAAACAATACAATCTGCGTAACACAGCTTGAATCCAAAAAGCGTTGCCAAAACTCTAACGGCTGCTTTGTCAAACGTAGGTGCTGATCCTGAGGAAACCATCCTCAACGCCTTTAAAGTCTTCGATCCTGAGGGAAAGGGTGTGCTGAGGAAGGACTAGTAAGTGGTCGAACACAAACTCTTTCACAAACTTATTTCAATAATATGACAATTTATTAAACAGAATGTCGCATTTCACCCACTATTTTGACGATGTGTGTACGTGAAAAGCCATCGTTCGTTTTCCATTTGGTGTGAAGACCACAATGATTATTATCTCTCACATTAATGTCCTCCGTCTTTCAGTGTGACACAGATGCTGACAACACAAGCTGACCGATTCTCCGCAGAAGAGGTACTCTGTGGTCTATTTGTCGTTAATTATCGTTATTATAGCAGATTACTGAGGGGGTGGGGCGGGGGCCAAGTGCAAAAAGAACAGAGTGATAAATGCCAATGTGGCAATGAGGGGCTAACCAGAGAGACAGAATGAGTCACCGCTGAGCTACCGTGTATTTTTAAAGGAGCCACAGCTTTTATGAAAGTGCTGATTAAATCTGCTTTCTGTTTCCAAAGATGGAGCAGATGTTCGTTGCCTTCCCTCCTGACATTGCAGGGAACCTTGACTACAAGAACCTGGTTCACATCATCACCCACGGAGAGGAAAAGGACCAGGAATAGGCAGGACTTCTTTCAGACCCGCTGAAGGAGATATGAACTGTCGGTTATTTACTCGACCCCCGCCCCCCGTGTTGGCTGCATATCTGTTATTGTACAGCACCCACCGAAGAGCAGAAGAGGATCAAAGTTCAATGTTTCCCTCCAGGCCTTGAAAAAGGGGGCATTAAAACAGCATCAAATTACTCTTGTTTTCCAATTTGTCTTGGAATGGTCATCTTGACAGACTCATGTGACTCTGTTCTGTAAACTGATATGCCGGTCGATCTTCATGTGCCTGTTTGTCCAATAAAAGTTTTAAAACTCACACTTACATTTCTAAGATAGATTTCTAAGAAGTTTGGTGAACATTTTGAGGTTCGTTCTGCTGTTTTAAACCTTTCATTTGTGAGGGTTGAAAGATGTAATTCGACATGTTTTAGCAAAAATGCTAAACATCAACTTAACCATATATGTATAAGTATGTTTTGTAAATTTCATATTGTGTATTGTATGTGTGTATGTGTGCATGTCTAAACTGAAAGGGCTTAAGTCGGACCAAGCCCGGCTGTTATTTTGGGACCAAGATTGTTGGTGGATAGTAATACTATACTCAGGGATTTATAAGCGATGCCGACAAGTGAGCTCTACACACCCTCACCTACTGTTTGAGCCGGAGCCTGGGGAGGACGAGGGAGGGGTGGGTGTTTTAAACCCAGTGTACTCCTAGGGGAGTGAACACCAGACTGAAGGAATTGTTTTCAGAGCATGGAGATTCAGGTGGATAACGTGTCTAGATTATCTTTGATATTTGAGCTCATGTCACGTGTTCTGTTTCTAACCAACTAAAGTTGGCTTAGAGGTAGAGCTCTGTGGGTTGTTTATATATTTAAATATATATTTATATGTGTGTGAGAGAGAGCAAAAGAGAGAGAGGGAGACAAATATATTTTATATCTTTAGAATATCTTGTCATAAATTTATGCAATACTAATATTAGCTGATCAAATGAATAACAGGTAGAATATGATGTTATATGATATTGTTATATATGTTGATATGATGTGCTAAAATCTACGCTCAAAGTAGGTATAGAAATATAAAGTATAGGCCTCTAGGTAGAAAAGATTCTACCTCTAAGGTAGAAATTTGTATTTTATGTAGCAAATACCTGGTAAATATCAAGCTAGCTGAATTGTAACTGAATCTAATAATGCAATGTAGTACATGACTACCCTCTAGTGGCCAAATAAGATTATGAAAAAAAATGTATCAGTCCACTGCAGCATTCAGCAGCAAACGTTGCACTGCTCGTTGTCTGCGGAAGTGACCGTTCGTTTCTTAAATAGATAGAAAAATCTCAACATAATCACAAGCTTCGCGAAGCACGATTACAATGAAAGATGGATTCACCGGGTCACGTTTAATGGTACTTAGCCCTACAGGCTGCTAATCTCTGAGGGGAAATTACAGCAGTATTACTCTGATTACCGATCAGGGTAAATGTTATACAGTGCATGAGGGGACAATTACCAGTCCCTGAAAGATGTTTTCATTAAGATGTAATACAGCGCTTCAGGGACATTCAGTCTGAGACTAAGTGTTGAGAAAACTTAAATTTTCATCAATTCAATCTTCATAGTAAAATAAAAGGGGTAAACGTGCAGATACAGTAGTTGTTGTATGTTGTTATTTACTGGTCAAGTCAACTTAAAATTAAAGTGAGCAGTTCGTGAACCCAGCACTAAAATGAGATTTTTTGTTTTGGTGAAAAGCAAGGTTTAATAGCACTGTCTAAATTTAGTTTGGTTTAATTAAAATTTAGTCCGCTAGATGTCGCCTTCCTCCATGTTTCAAGCAGTTGAGAGTCAGCGGCCAGGGGGCGGCTGGCGGTGGAGCCTCTGTTGTAGGTGGGGGGAGCTGGGAATGTGTGCATATTTGGGAGTGATTTTGCGGCTCCTGGAGGAGCAGCGGTACACGCAGCAGCACCGGGTAACTTGAAAAAAACTTGGTTCTGTTTAACGGGGTTCGACGTGAAGGCGGGCTGTTCAAGCATAGGAACACAAGTCGGCTGCTTTAGAGTCCAGCTGCTTTCGACAGCGGAGAACCAGGTCCAGGTTTTAGCATTGGAACGATTTCCGGCACAACATGGATGATTTAGGTAAGTTCCCTCGGTGTGAACGCGACACTAGTAGAAGGGCGGTGCGTGATTGTGTGTGCTGGAGCCGCTGGTTGACCGTATTTTGTTTTCTTTGGTCGGTGAAGGCAGTTGTTGCGTTTTTGAGTGAGCGGTGTTTTTGCCGAATGCAAATATCTCTGCTCCATGTGAGAAGTTAACCAGGATCAACTTAAGGCAACGTGTATACAACGCAGCTGTCGCGATAATCCCCATAATTAACGTGACTATATGACCACGGTGGTGGTGACGTACAGACGTGACGTGTTAAAGAACCGTGGTCATTTTCTGACCACTTCTCTGACATCAGGTACGGGGATAAGATCTTCCATGTCACTCAGGCGAGCTAGAATGTTGGACAACAAGGCAGCAGAAAGTTTTTTAATTGTCAAAACGCAACTTGACATGGTTTAATTTCACTCTGATCTTGAAAGGGCAGGTGTCCATTTAGCCCTCAGTGGTGACTGTCAGGGTTATATAACTGCTTTTCATTGCAGGTAAAACCAAAGCCCCCTATGTTTAGGGGACATCCTGGATTTCTTTTAGCACCAGGGACAATATACGTTTGGAAAATGATGGCCCAATTTCCATAGTTGGAAACTATCCAAAACTCACCTATTTTTTTAAAATAATTTATCAGTATGCAGCTATGTTGAATCACCTTTTATATTTTATTCTGTCACACAGGAGGAATGGGGCTTAAATAATGTTACTGTATTCTTACATTTGGTCTACATTTCTTACATTTTTTTTCCAGCATTTTTTGTGTTTTATACATATAGCCCATGGAACCAACTTTTGATATCAACCAGAATATGTGGCCCTCGGACCTAGTTTTTAGGAATAACATCAAAAATCACCTCCATGGAGTCCAATTTATTTCTAATCTAGTCATGAAGCTTCCACAGTGCGGACCCTTTGCATTAATATATATTTTCAGTGCATTTACAAGGACATTGGGGTAAAAGAATGAATGAAAGAAGTCAAGCTCTCTGGATGCTTAAAAATACATAGTTGTGCAAAATTCATCCCATACTTGTTGAAAATGTCATTCTTTGTCTAAAGACAGACCAGTGTGTATCCAGTTTGGACCAAATCCAAATCCGTTTGACATATTGGTGGTGGAAGTGAGACTGCACCAAAAATATTGGTCACTCTATATTCCATCAATATTTATGGACACCTTCTCAGCTTACAAGGGTGAAGGGCTTTCCTTCAGTTAGCTGCTTTAAAAAGACTGTTACACAATCCAGTGTAATTACCGTGTCACAGGGTTGTAAATTTTGCCATCATTTTAGCAGAGACCAGTAAAAATGTGGCACACAAGATACAGATACTCCACTCTCAAGTGTTGTAAAGTCTGTCATTTGGGGATGGCCTTGGCATGGGTGTCGCTGAGAGAACTTCTTACCCTCTGTTTGTTTCTAAGAAAAAGTAAAAGTTTCTGTGGTTACTCTGATATGGCTGAATGCTGCATAGAATCTCATTCTAGAAGAGTAAATCTGAGGCAGCGCAGGGAGTCATACACGCCAGACACTGGAGAGGAAAGAAAAGCCTGGGTATATTTTAGGAGAGTCCACCTCCTGAAGGGCCGAGGCATTAACCTTCCACAAACTTCTTAATTTTAGCTGTCGTTTTCACTATTCCCACTTTGCCCAGCGACTGTTGACATGTAAGCAGTGACCTTTAAATAGCAGGTCTGCTTCTCCCCCTCATGCACCTTCTTTCCTGCAATGTTTACACACATGCTGTGTGATAAATACTGATGCTTTCCTCTGCATCAGCTGTGGTAACAGAGTAAACACTGCCCTCAGTCAGGGTGTTCAGGGTGGATCAGGCCCTCATGCAGGGATTGGGCCTGTGCCAAAATTCATCCTCCTTGAATACTGCGCTGCCCCACCCTCTCCCTTCCCACTCCCCACCATTCCTGTGGTGAACCAAGTAAGGAAGCTGCAGGCTGCAATTTATTGACACTTCAAAGGAGGCTGAGTTTAAAGGAGAGCAGATTAGCATCTTGGACGATATGGAATAAAGCAGACTGTCATGTTTGATCACTAGGTTTTTACAGTGATTCCTGTTCCTAATAAAGGTTAGTGTGGAAATGAATAAGTAATAAAGAAAGCATTTCTGTTTATTTTTGTCAGATTATATTTTACATGCACCTACTTTCTGCACCGTTTGCAGCAGAGCCAACTTTCACTGACCTCACCACTGCATATCTCTGTGCTGTCAGGCGTTGCTCTGTACTTCACTGCTCTGGGCCTGCAGCAACAAGACATGAATTTCAAACCACCTCCCGAGTTCCTAACTTCCTTAGCTGACTTTGATCTGAAACACTGTCCAACTTTTTCCTATTTCTGTTTGCAAATACAATTACAGTCACTGTCCCTTTCACCAATTTGTTTCACTGTCACCCTAGAGGTGTTATTTAAAGTGAAGTCAATCCCTCAAGGCCTGTCGGTGCAGTAGTGTTAAAAATGTCAGTGGCAGAAATGGCCTGGGGGCATAATATGTTTTTACCAACACTAAGTCTGAGCTTATGCAGCTTAGATGCAAAAACTCTTGTTCAAAGACCTAATTAAACATTTAAGATAATGTGCGACTACTACAGGGTTTTTTTTTTCATCCGACCAGATTAAAAACAACAAAACAACAACCGCAAGAACAACAACTTCCAACTCATTTCATTTATTTCTTTTGTAATGTGTGGCTGCAGTGGGAATAGATGTCAAATTACTCAAAATTTTACAACAAAGCAAGTACAATTCAATCTTCCTCCTAATAGAAAACTGACATTGTCACATACAGCAGGAACATGTCTGTCATCTCTGAGAAGTAGCGCAGACAAAGAACAACAAGAAGTAGTTAAGATCTAAGGTTCTCTACCACAGGTAAAGATTGGTCCCCATGGGCTGTTAACTCGATGACTTTATTATTCATGACCTTGTCTGTTCATTGTCTCTGGTAACTTTTTCTGAAACATAGAACAGAAACGTCCATTAACTGCTTCCTGTTTTTAGCCTTTGTGTTAGCCACCAGCACTGATGCTATCTCTGCTCCATACTTCCTCAGTACTTCTTCTTTGCGATGGCAAACTTTTAAATGATTAAAACATTTGTTGCGCTCATACTGACAGACACCCCACCCTCCAAATTTGGCAGAGCACTTGTTGAAGACATGTTGTGTTGACTAGCTGTTTTATACTCATGGCTGTGCTGCGGCTCAGGACTACAGGTAGAGACTGTCAGCTCACTGCATAGGTGGCTCAGTGTGTGTTGACCTTGCTGCATGTATTAGTCAACCAATCTACTTAAATTACTTAGAAATGATCCCTATTGATCTATAATCTCCCACCAATAGATAATACTGTGCATCCTTATTAAGAGAGGTACGAAGTAAAAGTCTAAAATGTGTATGCATCTATTTCACGTCTACAGGTTTTTGTACAGTTAATCGAAGAAAACCCAAACACATGGGAAAACATGCTCCACGCAGACATAACTGAAGATGACCTTATCTCAATGTAACAAGAGACCTTCGTAGAGCACACTGGAAGATGAGTCTGCTGGGCCCGATACATACAGTAAACCAGACACAGAATCAATGCAGCATTTAATCAAATCTAAGTGCTAAAGGATTTTCCTTGATGAAACACCTGCTGCCTTACAACTGACCGTTGGTGCAAACTAGAACTCTGAAGAGGAAGCTGACTAAGCAGTGACTTCTCCACAGTCTGCCAACCCTCATGTCATCTCATGGACTTGATGCATGTTGTTTTTTCTTTCTTTGACCAGGAGGAGTAAGTATGACTGCTAGATGAGCTTGGGCTAATGCGATTTGAGTTCATTGATTTATTTTCAATCAATTTCTTTTGTGTACTTTGTGCTACACATCTGAGTACAAACCAGTAATCTCCCTTTGAACCATCTCTTGCTACATGTTCTCTCATCTAGCTCAACATGTTGCCCGCAGGACCTTGACTAGACCAATGAAGAAACCAACACAGGAAATGTATTTTTAACACCTCTACCTCTATGCTTCCCTTTTGAATGTGTCAGTAGTTGCAGTCAGAATACTTCTTTGATCCTAACATCTAAATAAGGTCACAGACTTGTTGTCAGTCATAGTCACACAACATGTGGACATGTCTCATCTTGTCCTAGGTTTGTTGACTTGTGTAGTTTGAGCACAATGAGCAGGAATAATGTAAAAGTTTTAAATCATAAATGTGTTTTTGTTAGAAGGAATGCATCTTCATAATGAATCAATTTACTTCTGAAGAACTATGACTATAATAATATTAGCTGACTTAGTTATAGGTATATTATAATTGATTTGTGCTGTATTATGGGCTGTGTTATTTTGTATTGTTATTGGCCCAATTTTTTCCGTAGGTCTTTGCTCAGAATTCTCAGCTCGTGTCCTCGTCCCTATGCTCATTCTGGTAGAGGCATGAACCAGCTGCTTTAATTTGTTTTGCACTGGAAAAAATTAACAAATCAAGAAAACCTTTTGATATTTTTAATCAATATTGCACTGACATTTTTCTTCTGAGGTTTAACCCTCTTGAGACCATCTAAACTCAAAGGATAATACATTTATGACAAGAAAGTTTTGTTTTTAAGAAGATTTGATATAAACTGACACCTACTGATGCTTGTGAAATTATTTCCACTTTGTAATTGCATGAAAACAGGACATTCTGTAACTGGCAGGGGTTTTTTTAGAGGTCGTATGGACAAGAAGGCTTCAGGCCTGAATGTCACATCACTGCTTTATGAGCAAATGGGAGTTTGCCAAGCATGTTTTTCTCTGGCCTTGGCACAGCTTTAAACACTGACACAATGCTGCTGCTGCCCTGTTGATTATATAAAGCCATCAATATAAATGGTATGTATGTGTGTGTGTGTTATAGATTGTTATCGTTTCTGATGGATTTACTTCCAACATTTCGCTTCTTGACCATTTCAGTAGAAGGGATCAAC